GTGTTTATTGAAGCCATCCTCAAGATATTAACATTCATTTCAACTTGTCTTCTAGTCAACATCTTTGTGCAGACATGCAATTTTGGGTTCTGATTCTCTTACTCCCATTTAAAGCTAAGTCCAAGACGGTTTTAGGGAAGCGGTTACTTCCAACTGGACATTAACAGTTGATCTGAGTGTGGGCCCATTATGGGGGTACCAGTGGCCTCTGGAATTTTGCTTTTTTAGTTCCTGAACCTTTAGTAAGTTATTACACAGCCACAGTTAGTAAATTCCTCTGCTGTGCTTCTTTTCAAGTAATTCTTGGAAACTTGAGTCTGAGCATACTGCAGGGGATGGGAAAAAGGTGGAAGTCAGTTCAGAGAGGTGCAGAAGGGCTGAGTGATGTGGAATGACAATATTTGCTAACTCCATGTCAACACAGCAGGGCCAGATGGTTTACTTACAATTTTTTGTTTCAATAACATATATCACCGGGTAATATATTGCTACAGGAAAGGGCTGACTTGTATAATCACTTTCAGATAACTTTAAAAGCAAGCAAGGTTGTTAATAGGAAAAAAAAAAAGCTCTTCACATTTTCATTTGAATCAGTACCTTTGGCACAAGCCCACGAAAATCCAGGTGCCAAGAGTATTTGCAGAGGCGCAGATGCCAGCTCCTAATAAGAGGATGCCACATTCTGGAAGTGCCCGTAAATTGGAAACCAGGGGCCGGAATAGCATCAGTGGCAGCATAGATTTGATGCTTAGATGCCAATTGAAATCCCAGTGTTGGCTTTGCCCAGCAAAATGTCAAAGCAACTCTCATGGCTGGTACTTTGGCACCAGTGTGACAATGGCAACAAATATGATTGGCACCAAAAGGAGCCCGGGAAACAGGCTCATCAAGTAAGAGCAAAGAATGCAGAGTCTACCCAGGATTTCTCAACCAACCACAGGTTTGAACATTTTGTATCCTGAAAAAAAAAAAAAAAATCAGATGCAAACAGAGTACTGTGGCCTATTTTGAGCTTACCTCTCGTTCGTCTCTCAATGGCCAAACAGCCCAATAGCCTCACAAGCGATCAGCTGCCTCTGGAGACCTCAGGTCCTGGGAAGCCTGGTGATATTATGGTTAAAAAACAAAAGCTTCCCAGGTGATTCTCAGTTCTGTATCTTCACAAATTGTAGCTCTAGCAGAAAGGGAATAGCAACCGAGTTAATTACTTAAAACTTTATTTGCACTTACCAGCTATAAATAATAACTCCTGCCCTTTATCTTGTGAGAGTAACGGCTAAGAGTAACTGTTCAATAAATGTTAGCTATTATGTGGCAGGCACTGCCCTAAATGCTTTACATATAATAAACACCTAATGTCATTTTATAGACAGGAAACTGATTTACAGAGAGTTGAAGTAACCTGTCCAAGGTCACACAGCTGGGAGTTGGATTCAAAGCTAGGCAGCCTGGATTTATCATGTTTTCAAACATCGTTCGTAACACTGTAAGGAATAAAAGCATGAATGAGAAAAGCATTTCACTTTGCATTAGGAAGCTTTCCAACAGTGACAAACGTGTTCGCTTGGCCCACTGCTTTTGGGCTATGATGACATGAACATCGTGGCAATGAGGGCTGCTCACCTCTTGGCAGCCAAGAAGGAAAGAAAGAGAAGGGCTGGGGTCCCAAAAGTCCCTTCAAGGACACACCCCTAAAGACCTCACTTCCTTGAAGTAGGCCCCGCCTCTTAAAGGTTCTACCACCTACCAGGACCATGGACTGGGGACTAATCATCTAATATAGGAGCCTTTGCAGGACATTTAAGATCCAAACCATAGCACTTTGCAAACTGCGGGTGCTTTAAGCAGCAGCTCAATTACATCCCCGGAGGAACGATACTGCATCTAAGTGGCGCTTGCTGCTTAATAACCACTCACAAATAATTTTACTCAAGGGACTTGGAAATCCACTTTTCTCAGATGCCGACGTTAGCCCAAGTGGCACACATAAGGTGACCGCTTTAACTGAAAAGGGAAGACTTTATAACCCTCGCATGGGGCGTGGTATCGGGTGATGAATAAACAAATGTTGGCTGAATCGTCCTTCCAATAAAAGGTGTTTTGCAATGTGCCTCTGCTATTCACTCTACGAAATGGCTTGTATCCAGTTATTTAGAATGTCAAAACAGAAAGGGCCATGTGGCAATTTAAGGAAATTAGAAAGAAATGGAATGTAAATGGGATATTAAAGCTTTGAAGTTAAAAATAAAGAACTCGATTATATATTCTTGAAATCCGTTCCTGGGTCAGCAGAGAAAGAAGAGGGGTGAGTGTCTGGAATAAACCAGCCTATTCTTTAATATTTTTTGTCAGTGCTGTACGTGCTCACTGTAGGCATAGTGCTCAGGTCGTTTTTTTTTTAATGGCTGAATTTAACTTACATCCTTCGGCAACAACCCTTGCACATTTAAGCATGCATTTCAATGTAGCTCGCAAACAGGTTTTTCCATCACTGTAGATGACAAAATGGTTACTGAGTAACAAGTTAGGCTTGTATTCTTGGCATCTGTTCTAGTAAAGCATTCAATTCATCTCAAGCTCAACAAAACATTGTTAGGCCTGCCTATAACTTCCAACCAATATTTAAAGAGCTGAGGCATCATGCAGGATCTCCAAGGATTTCTTGAGTAAATCGGTTAATCTGTGATGTGGCATGATCCAAATTTAGGACAGGCAAAGAATTCCCATGAGGACTTGCGTAAGAAGCAGTGAGGTCTATGGCAAAGCACCAGCCTGTGTTACCAAGGCCTGCTGTCTCCACGGGGCCTACACAGGGGCCTTGATAGATGAAGCAGGTGCCCCACGTGAATTGCTATAGAAAGGCCACTAACACAGTCTAATGCCATAGTCTCACTCCTGACACACATTTGAAAATTGCTGCCTCGATTGCCTAGTTGTGGTGCCAGTGCTGGGAGACTGGTTGGCCTTGCTTTAAGAGCTGGGGGGAAGGAACACTAACCTTGGGACTGAAAAAGCAGGAAAACAGACCTAAGAGTAGCAGTGTGTCTATTTCATAGGCTCTTAAAAGGCTTCTGGTGAACAGACGCGTGACCTGCGTGAGAATGCCTTAAACTGGGGATTAAAGCAACCTGTGTGCGCATGTGTGTACACAAACACACACGCTTTTAAAAAGTGGTCTCCAGTCAACCGTATTGCAGTTAGTTTTTTTTTTAAAAAAATGCCTCCTACACAAGGTGTCCCAAAAGTCTTAGCGCAGTCTTAGCTATTAGGGCTCTGGCTGGGCATGGTGGGCTCCCACTTGCAAATCCCACAAGGGTAGACACGAACGGTCTTGACACATCACTCGCTGAATGTGCAGCCCAGATTAAGACATTTAAAGGGACTAATTAGTCACCCAAGGGCCTGTGCTGAGATAGCAGAAAGGAAAGATGTAGCACCAGAGCAGTAGTGCCTGGAATGTATTCAAATGGAAAAGTTAGGGCTGGAAATACTTGTTTAGAAAGAGAACTACACCACCCCGCCCTCCTTCAAGTAATCCAAGCTGTGTTAAATGTTCAGTGTATGACTGAGATGTATTTTATTGAAACCTCTTTCAGTTTGAACTAGACTGTATCCTTTGGAATAAGCACATTTTATTCAGTGACTAAGCAGAAGGGATTCTTGATTACCACTATAGTTCTTTTGTGTGGACTGCTTCTCGGTTACTGTTACAAGCTCAGATAAGAACATCAAATAAGGTACAGGCTTTATTATTCAAGATCAGCGCAAAGACTGACACCAGCACAGGTGGGGATGACCTCATTACATTTGACCTTTGGTACCCAGTTGAAGTACTAGTTTTCCAAGTGGGACATCTCATACCTAGTGAGATGCTCGGCCCCGTTTCTGACAGCCACATTTACCTCAATTTCACTCCGTCACACTGTCAGAGGATGTGCCGAGATACAAACACAATTCCAAACCTCTACTCAACTGATCCTTTATCATGGGCCCCCCCTTACCTCCCAGTGGCCTTCGAAACGACAGCCAGCATTATTGGCAGGAACTGGTCATAACAACACGTGACTAACACTCAAAAAACAAACACCAAATGTAAGTACATTTCCTAAATACTCAGTTAAGGCTATGGTGTGCTTGGTTTTGACCACTACAATTCTATGACTTTCTTTTAATTTTCTCCTTGGATAAAGCCATGGAGAGCCTATGCTTAATTAACCTTCGCAGTCTTGGTAGTTACAAACTTAAAACCTCAAGTGAATTAGTTTTCATTAATAATAGATTTTAAAATCATGACAAAATTAGGAATAAAGTGTATCAGTCCTTTGGGATATGAAGAAAACGAATGAAGTTTCATCATCGGAAGGGAACTCTTTCAAGTAAGTATGACATACAGTAAGTATGTCAAGCTTTTCATGAGGTCACAGAGAGGGAAAATACATAACAAGCCTATTTCAAAATAACTGATGTTATTTAAGGGAAAGAAGTTTATAATATTTTGCAGTTGATACACTCTCTGTTCTAAGTAGTATGTAGAGAAAGTTTCATGCTTTTTGCTCAGGGTTATACTGGAGAGCTATTATTTTTATGAACATGAAGAGAAGGCCAAGATTTAATAGAACTGATGACTTTTAAAAAACTGCAGCTCCAAGAGAATTGAAGACTGCACTTAAATTCAAACCCAACCCCTCCTCAGTGTTTGATTACCGATTTTATAAAACATGTTCCTTAATAAGTGGCAAAATCAGAACCTATAGAAAGTAATCTTGGGTTGCTAACAGAGGACTGCTTAGGAAAAATATGGGAACCTTTAATCTCATATGGGAGTTATATTTGGCAAAAAAGACAAATCCAGAGTTCTATTGTTGTCCCCTTTTCTTCAGAGTTTGTATTTAAAATCAAGATGACTTTAGCTCAACAGATTATATTTTAATATCAAACCAATATAAATGTATTTATGTGAACATCACATTTTTATACATACTTAAAAAACACACAGAAGCCTAGAGAAAGATCATATATTTCAAATATAATAATGCTGATGAGGCAGGGCAGATCCAAGGACCTTCTGCAGAGGACGTCTCCAGCGGCCGACGGCACGAGCTGTGCCGCGGCTGCGGGCTCTCCGCTGCATGCACCAGGACACGCACGAGCACAGGGACGGGGCTTGCTGTGGTTTTGTTGTCTCCATGAACTGGGAAGTCTTTATTGTAGAAAGGACAGATAATTTAAAAGGTGAAGACTCTTCTTTCAAAATACTGCCGAGTGACAAATTTACTTCATGAAGACCAGAGTTAGTCATTCTTTTTCCTTTGGGGTTAGTGGACCAGAGTTCCGTTAACTCACTCAGAACAGAAGCTATAACTCGGTTGAGTGTTCGGGGCTACAGAAGTCATCCTGGGACTTTCTGTGGAAGTATGTACAGATTTTCCTCATGGAGCTGGGAGTAATGGTGACCTAGAAGAAAATTTACATTTCAGAGACTGCCCAAGATAAAGTTCAGTTACACCAGCAAGTTAGTACTAACAGTACCTTAATTTAGGATGCCTAGAAATTTGATTAGTCAGTCAGCTTTCAGTCCCAAATACTTTTGATGGCAATGTTACTTTTGGTTGATTTATAATAAAATAGTTTTAAAAATATTTACCAGTTAAGTCTCCTAGTAGGAACTAAAGCAGTTATAATTACCATTCTCTTTGAAATGAATTAGTAAATCCCTCGTTTTATAAACTAGGTTAAGTATTTCTCAATTATCATCACATAAAAAAATTAAAGAAACTTTAACTTCGGCTAGGTGTGGTGGTGCACACCTATAATCCCAGCGTACGGGAAGCTAAGGCAGGAGGATAACTGTGAGCTTGAGGCCAGGCTGTGCTATATAGTGAGTTCAAGGTCTGACTGAACTACACAGTGAGACCCTGCCTCAGAAACAAACAAACAACTCCCCTTCAAACAACTTCTGCTTCAAAAAATAAAGACCAGACCAGGTGTGGTGGTGCATGCCTGTAATCCCAGCACTCCAGGAGGCTGAGGAAGGACGATTGCTACGAGTTCAAGGCCAGCCTACACTACAAAGTGAGTTCAAGGCCGGCCTAAACAGCATAGTAAAAGCCAGCCTCAAAAAGAAAAAAAATAAATGAATAAATAAACAAATAAAGACCAGTACACTGTTTTTAAAGCTTTTGTCCCCCAGTTTTTTTGAGATAGGGTGTTGCTACGTAGTGCAGGCTAGCCTTGAATTCACTATGAAGGCCAGGCTGGGCACAAACTCATTGATTCTCCTGCCTCAGCCTCCTGAGTGGTGGGATTGGAGGTATGTGCTACCACACTCATTTTAACATTTAAAAGATTTACATAAAAAATTTTTTTTATGAAATTACTTTTCTGCTAACACATACCTGAGACCAGCTCCTCTGAGAAAAACAAAACCAGGAATTTTGCATAGGGGCAAAGAGGAGTTGCAACTTTGAGCAAAAAAGGAAAAAAGACTCTTTAAGCACTTGTTTTGCTCCCCATCTTCCACAGCACAGTCTCGGGTAGTCTATCCTAGACAGCCTTTAAAGTGCTTCCAGTTTGTTTTCCCTAGAGCTAGGTGGTAGGTGTCCTGATAACAGTGGGGGATATGAGCACATTTTAAACTAGACCTGTCCTACCAACATCCAGCTTCCACACTTTAAAAGGGCAGATGTTGCTGGCTGTGACTCCTGGACTGAAGTTCTATCACCGCGCCACTTTCTCCAGCACAGAACAAGAGCACCACCAACTACCATGGCAACTTCCCTAACCCTCTCCCTGAGCCTGTGAACTGACTAATGCGAGCTTTCTGTTCCCTGACTGGGGCCCGCAGCTCATTCAGTGCTCACGGCTACTTCCGCCTCCACCTGATAATAAATAAATCATACGCTTGTTAGGTTCACAAATGATTTCTGCCAGCAACATCTGTTATTGACATCATCTAATTAAATATTATGTCAACCAATGAAATATGAGGCCTACAAAGTTAAGTACACTATGGTAAAATGCAGAAGGTTTAAAAGAGTGGATATATTGCTACTTGGGAGGTTAAGGCAGTAGGATTACAAATTTGAGGTGAGCCTGGGCAACTTAGATCTTGTCTCAAAAAAGCCGTAGCTCAGCGTAAGGTCTTGGGTTCAATTTCACATACCCCTCCCACAACCCCCCCCCCAAGACACAGGTGTCAAGAACACCGGTGCAGGCAAGACCACTATAAAGAACTGGGGAGAAGCCATAAAAATCTAGGAGGGTTCTGTACTTTAATTGCTTTCTAAGTATGTAAGCTTCATTTTATTTTAAATAATAAAATATAACACAAACTGAAAATCTTCTTAAGGATGCTGGCAACTTTCCCAAAAACAACAGCTTTGTCTACCAAAAAAGGACAGCATACTCTCTAACAGGGAGGAGAGGACAGATATTATTGAAGTGATATCCTGGAGCATGAGGAAAGTTTTATTTTTACTTATTTATTTATTTTTACGAAGAAAGCTTCAGTGAATCAGGCAACAAGACTAAGGAGCATAAGCCTTGACAGGAAGGATTTTAATGGGTATAAACAGGGTTGCCAGATAAAATACAGGACACCCAGTCACATTTGAATTTCAGATAAATTTAACTAGTAAGTTTTTAAAAATCCCACACAAATTTGTATTGTGTTTTTATGTGCTAAACTCAGTAACTTCAAGAATAAATAGATTTACTTTTTTTTCTTTTACGCACTCTGACTTGAAGAGACATCTGTATATGTCTGGCCCTCTTCACGTTACAAGATCTGTCTTCTGAACACTGCAGACTTACCAGGCCTGGTGACGTCTTTCCGTTCTGTCTCCTGGATGTGGGTGTCTGGGACGACGGACTCCGTGGAGATGAGTTCTCAGCCTTCCGTTTGGCTGCCATGGCCAACAACCAGTTTTTATTCTCCGGGGAGCTGTTCTCTTTCCCCGCCACTTCAGACCCTTCTGCACATGGTCTCAAAGGAAGAGGCAGTGCCGCACAGCTCTCTGAAGCGTAAGGACTGATGGGAGAAGGAGGCTCCGAGATACTCGTGGTGGCTCCTTCCATCTTGCTCGCTTTGGCAGGACCCAGAGAGTCTTTACTAAGGTCTTCCTGGTTACCGGCAAGGCAGCACAGATCCAAGTGAAGGTTTTCCACTTGGCCATCAAGCTCAGTCACACAGTTGCAACTCTTCACACACTTTTGCTTCACACTCTCCAGACAGCTCGAGTCTAGTCGCCTCTTCACTCTATTTCTAGACTCGGAGCACGAGTCTGCTACAGATGACTTCTGGCTCACAGGAATGAGAGCTTTTCTTGGAGATGTGATCTTGGTCTCAGACGCAGGTGGAGTGATGGGTGGCGATGAGGAAGGTGTGCGGGTCACCCAGTTTCTAAGTGACATCTTGAAAGAGGAGAGTGGCTTCGGAGAGACGGAGGAAACTGCGCCTCTTCTGCTGATGGGAGAGCGGGCCTTGGCGGGAGGGGTTTTGATGGAGGCCGTGGGAGTATTTGAAGGGAGAGGGAGGTCTCCAGCACAGCTCGGCGCACAGGCTGCGGAGGACGGGGAGGACAGGGCCGGGCTGCTCTTTACCCTGGGGGCCTTGGCAGGAGTGCTCTGGGTGCTCGTTACTGCTACTGAAAAGTGAAGAGAGGATCATGATAATCAGAAGTGAAAGCCACAGAGAAGTCCCTGAATTCTCATTAAAGAAAATGATAGCTAATTTGATCACCTAAGGGTCTACTTGCCAGTAAGTGGGTTATATAAACCACTGGATGTTATCACACCCTTTCAGTATTTTCCTTCCCCTTCCCAGCCAGCCTCCCGATGACCCTGTTGTACAATATAACTTGTAAAAATCTAGAAAAGGGGCTGGGGATTTAGCTCAGCGGCAAAAGCGCCTGCCTGGCAAGCGCAAGGTCGTGAGTTCGGTTCCCGGTACCGGAGAAAAACAAAACAAACAAAAAAAAAAAATCTAGAAAGTACAGAAAATACAAAGAAAGATCTCAAAGCACCCAGGTAAATCACTTAGCATTATTTTCTCCATTTGTCAGTGTAACATATATTGTATACCTCAAATTTTCATACACAAGAACATAATGTATATTACTGAGTAACCTTTAGTCACTATATTTTTTATTTTCTAGTGTATAAATTTACTGGGGACGATGTGATGTGCTGACATATGTATACATTATAGAATGACTAAATCAAGACAACGTATTAATCACCTCACCTTTTTCGTAGTGAGAATGTTTAAAATCCATTCTTAGAAAATTTCAAGTACTATATATCGTACATTAACTCTAGTTACTATGCTGTACAACAGACCCTGAACTTTGTTCCTTTTTTATATATGAAATTTAAAATACTTTGACCAGCATCCTTCCATTTGCCCTCCTCTTCCCACCTCCCACCTTGTAACCACGAATCTATTCTGCTTCTGAGTTCAACATTTTTATATCCCATATAAGTGAGATCATGAGATATTTTTATTTCTGTGCCTGGCTTATTTCTCTAAATCCCTTCTAGAGTCACCCATGTTACTGCAAATGACATGATTTTATCATTTTTAAAGACTAAACAGTATTCCACTGTGAATATGAGCCACATTTTAATCCCTTCATTTGTTGATGGATACCAAGGTTGATCCCGTATCTTGGCTTTTGTCACTGTGGCTGCAGTGAATATTGGTGTGCTGGCGTCTTTTCCACATACAGATTTTACCACCCTTGGCCATATCCCCAGCAGTGATGGCTGGGCTAATTTATCTTTTTGACAAAACACAAGAGGTAAAATGATATCTCACTGTGGTTTTAATTCAATTCCCCCTGGTTATTAGTGATGAGTATTTTTTACATATTCCTAGAGTGCTGGGATTACAATCAGGTTGGTTATTCACAACCTGCCTCCTAATATATCATGAACATTTCCTACGTGAACACAGACTCACATTACTACCATTTTAACAGTGACAAAGCATACTGAGGTACTGGTACTCTACAGCACAGCTAACAAGCACTTCAGAGAGGGTAACAGTGACACAGGCTGTTAAGCGGAGCTGTCATGAGAACTGTGTATAACCTTGATGGATGCAGGGAAAAGGAGGCCCTGCAAACAGAAACACACAGGTCTAAAACCGCGCACAGGCCCTTCCTATGGGACTTGGGCACAGCTGTTCATCTTTGATTCATCTTCCACATGTATTAAACAAAGACAGTTCCTTGGTGGACAGTATCTAGGTGTCCTTGTCCCTTTGCTTACATACAACAGCAAGTATGGGGAGTGGTGCAGCGCTGGGGATGGGACCCAGGCCCTTCACGCTGAGCCACATCCCCAGTCCTTTTTCATTTTGATACAGGAGCCCACTAAATTGCCCAGGCTGGGCTGGAACTTGTGATCCTCCTGACTCAGCCTCCTAGAGTGCTGGGATTACAATCAGGACTAGCACGCAAACTCTTATAAATGTTGTGCTTCTTTACTCTCAGACTTTCCTATAGACAATATTTATTTTCCTTTTGAGCTTCCTAAAACACTGTTCTTGTCTTTAAATAACAAAAAAGGGTATCTATTTCTCAGTCTTTGAATTGTAAACCTGATACTTAATTCAGTTTCGTTACTGAGTTGCATTTATATGCAACTGAATTTAGGATGAGCTCCCGTAAAAGTGCAATCTCTCTTTTAGCAAGAATAGAGATTTGCAAGTACTAACTTTAGCCAGTTTATTATCCTGCCCTATTCTCCTGTGCTTTTCACTACTTAAACAGACTGGCCTTAAAACAGAGTAAGTCTACAAATTAACTTTTGCCTAAACATTTCTCATCAACCACACATTCAGAACCTGCTGAAGTAATTTTCCTTTAGAAAAGACTTCATAAAAGTGACCTGTCCATGGAGCCCTGGCGTGGTCCTCACCCTCCTGCCCTAGAGCTTGAGGACAGTTACTATTCAGGCGGAAAGGAAGTTCTCACCTGCTGCACCCTCCACTGCAGGCCACACTCCTCAGTGCAGGCCAATGTTCACCGCGCTACTCCCGCAGCCATTTGCTCTGCTTAAATGGGTTGAAGTAGACATTTAGGGCAAAAGTTCTAAAACAGTGTTTGCTGTACAATGCAGCAACTCTAAGATGGGACTGGAGAAGGAACAGGGACAGGGCAAATAGGTTACCTAAGTTTCTGATATTTGCATGGCACCACTGGGAGTGTTTACTTACAGCCAGCAGAAATCTGTTATTGGAAAACTGGGAAATTTCCTTTCTTTTGGATGTTATGACCTGGGGGTGGGGAGTCAAGGAGAAGATTTTGTTGACACTGACAGTTCACAAAATTTTGGGTCAAATTTAATCTTTTATTTTTTGAACAAATTATAAAAAACAAATTTCATGGTTAAAAATTTTAACAGTATAAAAGGGAAGAAAGTAAAAAGTAAAAAGTCCTCATTTTAACCACCTTGTTTCCACTCATATTCTTAGGCATGCCACTATTTTCTATGTGTTTATTAGCATATACAAAGGTATCCGCACATACAATATCTTAAAAATGCAACCAAACTCTAGTGGATATTACTGCACATAAATGTACATGTTCTGCAACTTACTCTTTTATTTTTCTCTCTATTCCTCTTCTAGAGATGCACTGCACCATTTCTCACAGTCAAGCAGCATGTCACTACAGGGGCGTACACCTTCAAATACTATACTCCACTGAGTACCTAAGCAACTTAAACGGCCAATCTCCTAAAAGCCACATATGAGATCTGATAGTAAGAGGTAATAAAGACTGGATTACTGTCCCATGGGCTTCTTGAAAGTCAGTTCCTTTGAGGAATGAGCAAGCTTACTGATAATTAATTTGTAGCTTTTTTCTAGATGAAGGTTAACCACCCGCCTCACCCCACCTTTGCAGCCTTATCACGTCCGGCTATGTTAGGATCCTGTTCCAGGAGACTACTTGCTGCTTCCTGAATAGTGTGCCCTGCCACAGCTCTGTCTTTCTTCATGTGGTTTTCTCGGCCTCCCCTGCCAGGCAAAAATCCTCCTGGTGTTTCAAGGCTCTGATTATAATGTGACCTCTGCTCGGAAGTGTTCACAAGCTTCTTTCCTCCTCATCAGCAAGGCTCTCTTCTCCCAGAGGAAATGGGGTCTCAGAGCCCCTGGTTAACATAACTAGGAGAAACGTTTACAATGTACCAGAGAGTTCACATTTGCCTCCTAGACTAGACTGTGAGCCTAGACAATGGGTGCTAATCTTGGGACCCAGTGCTCCTGGGTGCCTGGCAAGGAATTGTTAAAAATTGTTAAATTTCAACACTACTGCAAGGGATAAGGCTGAGGTTCTAGGCACTAGAAAACTACTATATCCTGCTGACTTGGGAGACTGCAGCAAGCACATGGGATAGAAGAGCTAACGTTTCTTCTTTAAGATTAAGATAGTCATCCTTGTCACTCAGTAATGCCAAGATCAATTGTTCTCAATCCTAGCTGTACAACAGATTTCCCCAGATGCAGGAACTGGGCCTCCAGCCTACCAAATCAATCACGGGGACATACAAACTTTTAAGTAGCTCCACAAGTGATTCTGATGCTCCATCAAGGCTGAGATATACTGTCTCATCCACTACATCCCAGTAACTTCGGATCTTAATGGCACAATGGATCTTTGAGCTTGAATTTCAAGTTCATTACTCTGTATCTACTGGTAACGTGAGGATCCCTGTTCACTGGCTCAGTACTTAAAGGATTTTTGCCCTGGGCTCACTGTTTCTATCCCTAATATCTGCTCAGTTCATAGTGACGACAAAATTCACACATGTAATCACTCGAATGTTGGTTTCTCAGATTCTTGATCTCCTACAAAACTCTTCTTTCACTTGCCTAAGCCAGCTTCTTATTTCTCGACTTCCAATTCCCCATTATGTTCATTTCACTTATTCTGCTCTGCTCACCACCTATTCTTCCAGCTTCCTTTAGTACTTCAGTTGCAATAACCTTTCACTCCTGGAGTCCCTCGGTCCATGTGTAGAACCACTTGTACGTGGTCGCTCAGCTCTCCTCTGCCTTCAGTGTTCCTCAGCCAGGTTAAATCCCATGGGCAGTCATCACAATCATCTTCTCCTGTCTGCCTTCCACTTCTTGCTCATGTCTGCACATGTGCTTTGCTAAATCAACCTCCTAGTTAAATTCAACTCTGCCTGTACCATATTTCTCCAAAAATAAGAATAGGTCTTATATTAATTTTTGCTCCAAAAGGCACAGTAGGGCTTATTTTCAAGAGATGTCTTATTTTTCATGTACAATACTCTATATATTTATGTAAAAAAAAGACATGTATTCATATACAGTCATGTCATCTACTGGAATATCTTTGTAACTCTCCAAACCCCAAATTCCAGTCGGAATTTCTTGCAACTCCATTTTCTATAGAACCACTGGCTCCAATTTCTCATGTCTAGCAACAGAGCTCTCCTTAAATGAACACTTCATGTCCATGTAGCCTGCTCGTACTGTACTGACAACACAGCTGTCAGTGATTTTATCCCATGAATTCTTCACCCAAATCATGATCTGATGCAGGCTGGGATTCAGTTTCCATGCTGACTTCTCTCCATCCTACTTTCAATGCAGTCTTTGATTTCCATGAGCAAATGGTCCTTAAATGGCTTGTTTATTACTTCAGAGTCTGAAAATAGGCAGTCATTTCTGTAGGAATCATTATTTGATCCATTCTTTTCGCTGCAAGGAAGTCCTTCATGTCTTTAGCATGGCAAGTGCTGGCTGACTAGACTAGCTAATCCTAGACCAGCAGACTTCTTTAGTCACCTTGCAAAACAAGTGACAGAATTAAATCCACCCTCTTCCTTATAACTGCTTGTATGCACCAGGCCTTTTCAGTTTCAAGAGAATAAATGCCTAAAACATGTTCAATCTTATCTTTCTTTTTTCTTTTTTCAAAACAGCATCTAGCTATGCAGTGCAGGCTGGCCTTGAACTCACTGTGTAGCCCAGATTGGTCTGGAACTCACAGCGATCCTCCTGTCTCAGCCTCCCAAGTACTGGAATTACAGGTGTGTGCCACTGGATTGAGAACCAACTCAATCTCATTTTCTTGCCCTTAGTGATAATTAGAAGTGGGGCTTCTTTCCATCTAGATCAACTACCAAAATACAGGTAACACACCACTTCTGTAACGAGTGGAGGGAATGCAGACTGACAAGGCGTCCCCCTGACCAATGTCCTTTGAGACCCTTGGCCTATCAACATTGCAGCTTCATCCACAGCAATCATGTTGCACAGCTGGTATTTAGAAAAATCAATGCCATCAACAAAGGACTTGAATAACCACATCTAATAACCTCAGTATCTTCAGCTTGAACAGTGCTGTCAGTCTTCTTATAAAGGCAGATTGTATCACTGAAGGAACCAGGCAGCCAGTCGTGATGCTCTGACTTCTTCTGGGAGCATTTCTAACTGTGGTGCCATTGCGAGAGCAAATGTTTGAACCATGCCCTGCACACAACCAAAGCCTCTGTGCCCCTGACAGCAGTCCACTCACAGGGCGTGTCTCCCAGCCCAGGCAACGGCGTCTGCGGACCTGATCCACGCTCGCACTGCTCAGTGCTTCCCTCACCCACCTGTTGACTGAGGTATCACACTCTGCTCACAAGTTTTGGAGCTTTCAGAAATCCAGTTTTTTTTTTTGCACAAAGCAATCAGACTCTTTCCCAGGAGTCCTCCATGAGTCCTTTCTTGTACTTGATGGAACAGCTATTTCTTTCGTGCTCATCTTATTTAGTGGTCAAAATATTATTCCCTTTAAATTTACCATTAAATCAAGTGTTAACTGAAGACTTACAAAACAAGGGTGGCAACAAAAATAATACCAACAGTTAAGAATGATGGATGGTCACACAAGGGACAAAAAACTGCAGGCACCAAATTCAGAAAACCATGTGAGGGCATTAAGTATGTCTGTTACAACAAAAAGATTCACATTAGATACAACCATGACCATTTGTTTTCAAGTGTGCATGGTATTCATGCATTGTTCCTGTTCTCTGACTGGTCATTTGGAAGTAAGTCTCAAGTTTACCTGTTTACACAGGCATTTACCTCTCTTCCAAAGGCATCTGCTAGGATATTTACAAATATTTAATTATAATTTATATATCGTGTAAATATATAATTTATATTATTGTGTAAGTATTAATGTCAGCATACTTTAATATGCATATTTTATTAATATAATATATAATTATAATATTAACATCATGTAATATTTACTAATATTATTTAATAATTCAATGTTTGTCAAGTGTTGCAATTGCCACAGTAAATGTGTCTTGTCTGGCTCATGATTGTAACTGGGGCTTATTTTTGGGGTAGGGCTTATATTATGAGCATCCTGAAAAACTATGCTAGGGATTATTTTCTGGTTAGGTCTTATTTTGGGGTTAATATAGTAATACACTTATACCTGCACTGCAAACATATAAATGTGTTGAAAGCCTGCTCTCAATTAATGATGGCTAACCCCAAGTCAACTCTTCCCAACAATCACATGTCCCTGGTCCCATACTCTTCTATTACCTAAACGACTATTTCAGAGTTCCTTATATCCTCAAATCTCTGCCATCTCTGCCCTCGTGCTTATTCTTAACTGATCACCTCAACTCCTATTTTACTGAGAAAATCGTCATCAGAACAAAAGAAAACTTTTCTAAGTCCCAACCATCCCATCTCTTCAGCTACCTGCACTGCATGTACATATTCTGCCTTTTCTCCTATCACTATTCTTTGTTCTCCTGCCAAAGGCGTAATCCTCTCCTTGCAGATTAAGCTAGTTATGTCCTCACCTGTATTCAAAGACTGTTCCAGAAAATTTTTCTGCATGAATTTCCCCCCTAGGATCCTTCAAATCCCATACAAAATGCTGTATTCCCATAAAAAAGAATGAAATGGGAGAAAAAAAAACTCCACTACATTTTAACTCCAATTCTTTCTGTAGCTACTTCACTGTCTTCTCTTTTACAGCAAAACTCCTTGACAGAGCTGCTTATACTGGCAGTGTTCAAGTTCTTTTCTGTCACCAATACGAATGACACCACTCAGGCCACCACAGCTCAACCAAAAATTAGTCTCATTAAGGCTACCAAATAACCCGTATATTGCCAAATCGAAAGTGTAGGAGACGTGAGGAGGACCGAGGCCTAATTGGCCTCCTCTGTGAGCACAAAGGAGAAAGGCGTCACATCACGCAGGCGCATGGCACGTTACAGGTTCTAGGGAAGTCAGTACAGCTGAGAGCAAGTTTACCTAAGCATGTTCCTATGTTTACCTAAGCATGTATGTGATGGTTGACACACTGTGTCAACTTGGGGAGTCTAGAGGTTTGGCTAAGTGACTCAGCAGGAAGCCAGGGTGCTTACTTTGTATACATCCTGAGCCTGTGGAAGAGGAGGGCATGGAGATTATGTGAGAGCTGCACACCCCTTAGGTGGGGGTAGCCTGTTTGCAATGTAAGGCAGGGAAAGAAGCTGCTTGCTGCCATTCCTCCTTTTGCTCTGGCTGCTTTACTGTTCGGCTGCCATTCCCCCCTTTGCTCTTGCTACTTTGCTACCTTCTGCCTCGGAGCCAGCCAAGTATGGACTGAAACCTCCACAAACTGTAAGCTAAATAAACCTTTCCTTCCTTCATTTTGGGTGTTGGGTATTTTGTCTCAGCAACGAGAGAAAAGTAACCAAGACAATGTATTAATGGACATTGGGAGGCAGATGACTCCTGTGTTACTTTAACTGCTTGTACCCGTGTTTGAGTGAATAAAAGCAGGATGAGCCGGACACTCAGGGCTCCTCTGGCGACTAGAGGCGAGTGTCCCCTGGTTGCCGCATGCTACACTGTGTCTGTGTGTCCTTCATCTGCGTTCACCCTGTGGTGAGGGGTGACAAACTAGCAAGACTGGGTCCTTACAAGCGGCACCTGGGTGGGCAACGATCAGGAGTGGGCTGATTCCCCGTGGGCTGTGCCTGGGGTAGAGACCTGGGGCTGGTGTGGACTAGTGGTTGCTAAAGCCAAGGTCTGTTTTTAAGTCTCACCTTATTTTTTGGTATACCAGAACCATTTAATCAAATTTATCCTTTGTCCCTTCTCTACTTGGCTGCCAGGGCATAACACTCTTGTTTTGTTCTTATTTCTCAGGTTGTGCCTGCTCGTAGCCTTTACTAGTATTTGTCACTTCCCTGACCTCCCAACAGTGGGATGCTCTGTTTTCTGTCTGTACCTAGCTTCACCTATGTCATAATGAACGCCAAATTCACAACTCCTAGTTGAGCTGCAGACTCCAACAGCTACCTGCCTCCCCGACATCTCCATTTGAATGTCTAATAATTATACTAAACAACTATCTACATAGAACTCCAGCTTCCCTCTCAAAACTGCTCTTCCTATGGGGGTTCCTAGTACATTAAAGAAAGTCCATTCTTCTATCTTTTCAAGCAAAACCTCTGAACTCGTCTTTGGCGATCCCCTGCTTACATCCCGTATCTATCTCTCAGTATATTCTGTTGGTTTTATCTTAAGTGTACCCAGAATTTGCTGACTTCTCATATCTTCTGCTGTTACACATACAGACGTCACCATCATCACTTCCAGGATCATTTCAATATATTTTAAAATTAGCTTTTTGCTTTTGCACTGATCCCCTTATAACAACTTCATTTTCTAGTACTATTCTCCTGTCTCTCCTTTACTTGTGTTAGTCACAGGGACTACAACCTCATTAGCCTCTGGAAGGAAGAGAAAATCTGCCAGCCCTGCTCCTGCTCCAGGGCCTCACACTTACCATTCTGCCTGCCTGGAATGCTCTTCTTCACAATATCCACACGGCTCACTACTTCACTTTCTTACTCAAATGTCATTCTCTTAATGAGCCCCCTATCACCTAACAGAAAAATTGAACAGCACTTCACCATTTTGCCTGTTTTCCTTTCTCTAAAACACCTGCTGCTAAGCACTATTTGATACAATACATATTTACTTCTTTATTTACTGCCTCTCATATTAATATGTACACTGTATCTTTGGGATTTTAAAATTTTTGGTTCACTATTGACTAAGAGCAGTGTCCATACAGAGCAGGTGTTCTAGAAGTTATTTTTTGCATTAACCCACCACTGTGTTCCACTACTATAGAGATGATATGCATATAGTGCTAAAAAAATGTTTTTGAAAAGAACAAATGTCAAGAAGATGGTGCTTTAAATACCAGAACAAGATCAAATATAGCTTACCACTATTTCCCATAGGACTTAACAAATGAAACCATAAAAAAAAAAAACCCAGCTTAAGAAAATGTAGAATATCCTTACCTAGGCCAGATCTTGTCTCTTTTTTCTTCTGAGAGGCCCAACCCACTATGGAATGCTTATCTACTCCTGGTTTCTCTTCTAAGCCTCTATTCAAGCGCCAGATTTTTAATGTGTTGTCATCAGAGCAGGTAGCAATCTAAGAAGAACCAGGAAAGGAGTGATGAAATTTCAAGCAAAGACTTAAAACACAGTAAAAGTAAAAACAGATGTATCCTAAGGGCTCATGACTGGAAAATTATTTTGTCTGCCATAATAAGATACAGAAAATGGTATCTGAAAGATCATGACTTCCATTCCTTGCTTTCAGGGACCATTCCACATTTTCAAAGATGTCGACTCTAGCTGCTTCTTCATACATTTACTGATGATAACAACTTTCGTCACCATTAATTTGTGACCTAACCTAAAGTTCTATAGCAGGCTCATCTTGTCCTCTCCAGAAACTGAGCAAGTCATAATTTTTACCACCTTCTACCCTGACTCTGAAATACATAATTAACACACCTTTGTAACCCTCTTTATGTTAAAATCACCAACATTTCTATGACTTTCTTTTGAATTCTTAATGTGCTGCTGATGGCTAAAGTAATGGGATCATTTCCAAGACCAGACTTAGCCCATGACTCTACCAGGCCATGACAAGTACAATGAAACCGTTCCTTCGAGATTCTCCTTAGATAGGTAAGGGGCAATCTGGGAAAACAACATGTTCACTAGGCAGAAACAAGTTAAAAATAACCTTTGCCCCTTCAAAAATATCTGACCATTCCTGATTGTGGTCTGAAGCCTTTTATGGCAGAGAAAGTCTAACTTGAAGAGCTTGTGGCAAATGGCCACTGGTACCAGAGTTATTCTCCAGCATTTGTTTATATAATTTCTCTATTTCAGTCACTAAAGAGAGAGAAAAAAGAACACATGTTCTCTTAGGTTTTGGCCCCCAAGAGACCAGCAACTTTTTCTTTTCCTTACTGGGAGGCCACAAGAAGATACCGCATATTTAACTGCTCAAGAAGAAATGTTTGGAATCCTACGATCACTCTATAGTGCCATAACAGTAATTATTTACAGAGCACCTAGTGTGTGTCTAATTTACATTCTTTATCTTATTTAATCCTCACAGTACAAAAAACCTTGAACTCAAATAATCTCATCTGAAAAATGGGAATAGAGTTATTTGTTCAGAAGTACCATATTCTATCCCCCTAATTCAAAGCTGATGAAAAATCACTCAGTATAGGCAATTAGCCTTGCCATCTCCTTGAAGTCTCTTTTCTTGTAGGAAATAAGGATAATTCATGATGGCTGAAAAAAGATTACATAATCAACTGAGTAATTAAAAAACTCATCTTAGTAAGTTCCATGAAGATACAATACCCTGCATTAAAAGCAGATATTTTACTGGGAATTACATGGAATCAGGGAAGAAAAAAATGTCACTGGGATACAATTATGGATAATTCAAGTAATGATTAAAAAAGCCAAAACACTTGTCCTGAAGCAGAACACTGAAATGGTAACAGGAACAAAAAAAAAAAGAAGAGAAATCCACAATGATATTGGAAAGCTAGCAGGAATATCATAAACAGGCCAGACTATGAGAAGTTCTTGGAAGATTAAAAAAAAAACCAAAAAAAAACCTAGGTGGAAACAACAGGCAACAAAACCTCAAAATATCAAACATTCATCAATGAAGTGAAATTTCCTATGGAACATAGAATACCAAAGACCGAAGGCAATGGGGCTTGGGAGAATGAGTGGAACTTGGGCTACTGTGTAATTGCTATATACACGTGGAGTTTGTTTATGTTTCTGGCCTTTCTACATTTTAGGTTTCCTTTTAAGTGTCACATTTTCAACTCAGTTTCACTGCATTTTACATTTCTTGACACATGCAACATTCAAATGTAGGTATATTTTCTTTTTTCTACAGTGTCTAAAACATTTCAGGCCTACTTTTTTCGAAGTTTAGGTACAGGTTAACATATTAAGACTTCATAGGAACTAGTGTATTAGTCAGATGTGAAAATCCACATTAGACTGCAAAGAATAGTCAGAATTTACCTTTAACACACACTGATCATATGCAAAGTGAGAAAGTCTAGTTTTAATCTGAGATCGTTTTTCACCTTAGATCTTAAAATCAAATTTTCAGTTAAAACCTCAGTCTATAGTTAGAGGGGGAATGACTAGCAATCCACCCTTACTCCTTAGTGCATAAGGTGATTCCTCTGTTGTCAGAGAAAGGCAGAATATGTATGAGTAATGCTGATAGAGACCCTGGGTGACCTCTACAATTTTTAAATGTCTAAAGGTAAAAATAAAAACCTACGTGGGAACAATAGATAATAAAACCCCAAAACACCATGTATCATACATGAAAAGAATTTTAAGACAGCCTTTGTCTCTCAAGCAAACCTTGAGAAAACCTACAAAACTCTGATCTACTTTTAAACCCATTACACAGACTTGTTCACAAACCTTTGTGAAGTCAGACGGACACCAGCACACAGATGTGACCTCTTGAGAATGACCGAGGAGCACTGTAGGTGGATGCCAGGGTGTAGAGACCTGGCCAATCAGAGAGAAACAGAAAAGTCAGTGTTAGGTCTCCCAGGCAGAGGCTCTGAGTCTCTAACTGTGCCGTAGAGAGCTTTAGGGTTGTTAGCAAAGGCACCTAAACCAAAGTAAATAGTTACAAACAAAAGAGTTCAAATGGAGTATTTCTGTCCCTGATCTGAGGAAATACAATGAGAATAGTCAAGACAAGTAAAGAACGTGAGGTTAGATCCCAGGGTAGTTCTTAATCCAAATTAGGACTACCTGGCTACGCATATCTCTTTCGACTAAAATTCAGGATGGACACTGTCCCTCTTTCCTTAGCTGGTGAACTTCTCAGAAAGGTGAAACAAAGTTGACAGGTAGAACGCTTCGAGCAAGTTGAGTTCTGCTTTCGTATACCCCGCACACTTCCAGACCTTCTCTAGTCACCTACTTCCAGGAATCCTAAATTGACTGTGAAGCCTGAGGGGGCTGAACTACGAAACAAGCTCTCTTGTGACAAAAGGACAGAATTCCTTCCAAAAGACTCACTGACCCTTACCACAATCCAAAGCAATACTCCTTCATTCTGAAGGTATGGAAGCTGGATTTTACATGGCACTTTTGGAGAAAAATATTTTGCCTCTAAAATTTTATTTTAGTAAATTTAAAGAAATTTTACATTTTCAAGTGAGTTTCACATTTTACAGTTTTTAACGCATAAAGGGTCACACTGTGTTGTACTGCACACCTGACTAGAAATCTTACTTTCCTATTACTAGATTCTACCTGTGCTATGCATTTGATAGCATCATATAGCTGATGCAGTTGAGGTGTCACTAAAGAAGACAAACTCACCTAACTATTAACATGTTTGTCTGAAGAGCAAGTAGCTTGGAACTGAGAGGAATTATTCTGTTACTTTTTCTGAGGTTCCGAATCATGGCTCATTTGTATGGAGAAAGTGGAGGCAACTTTGGAAAGAATAGTTTTTAGAATGACTAAGTAAACTAACAGATTCCTCAGATTGTAGTTAAGAGATGACACTGACTCATAAGGTTATCTGACTCAATTACTCCTCCTCCCTTGGGTTACATGGCACATATGCACTGATTCAGAAGGCAAAGGAAGACGGCAGCGTCTAAACCGCCTTACCAAGTTAATTACACTTTAATAGAAAAGGAAGCTTTTCCTATATCCACAAAGATCTTATAGCCTGGTGAGTATTACAACGCCACAGAGACAGCAAGTCATTCTTTCCTAGGCTAACATATTTAACAAGGGATTTTTAACATAGCCTCTAACTCTCTCAGCAGTCACAGACATTAGCCCACTTGTTGTGTTTGGAATGGCCCCACCCATTAAGTTCTCTACACAAGGCCCCAGTGGGTCTGGTAACAAGAAGTTAAAAGAAAGAGAAAAGAGGCAAGGGATATATATAGCTCAGTGGTAGAGTGCTTGCCTCACATGTGCAAGGTTCTGGGTTTGATCCCCAGCTCTACAGGAAAAAGGGGGAGGAAATCCGCATATTCTTTTGACCAGGCCTCGCAGGGACACATCATTCTTGTCCATTAGTTTACCCTGCTGACTGCCTCTAGCTTTTCATGTCAACACACTTCTTCCTTAGAGAATCTAAATGTGTACACAAAGGATTACAATAAGTTTCAAGAAAAACTGAATATCCACCAACAGAATGTATGCATTTTTCACATTGTCTACAGGGTTTCAGAAACAAAAGAAGAGACCTTTGGAAAAACTTCCTACAATTTGATAAAAATGTAATAATAATAAAAATAAAAGCCAGCATTTGTTAATCGAATATCATAAGCCAGGAAGTTTACATGGCATTAAAAGTTAAACAGACTTAAATGTCATGTGACCACGCAATTCTATACTTAGGTACATACCAAAGGAGAAATAACATGTTCAAACAGAAACTCACAAAAATGTTCAGTGCAGCTCTAATCATAAAGTCAGAAAGTAAAAAGAACTCAAATGACTATCAATTGACATACAGATAAACAAAATGGGGTCTATGTATACAGTGGAATATTAGTCAACCATAAAAATAAATGAAGTACTAGCAAATGCTGTATGTGTGAACCTGGATAGCATTATGCTAGGTGAAAGAAGTCAGACACAAGATGTCACATATTATGTAATTCCATTTGTATGAAATGTCTAGAATAGGGATATCCATAAAGAGAGAATGTAGTTAGCAGTTGCTAGGGTAGGGGGAATGGACAGTGACTGCTAAAGGGAATGGAGTTTCTGCTGCGATAAATGCTTGGAATTTATTTATGCTTTCAGGTTCTTACACTAGGGAGATAATACAGTGTTTACACGTGTGGGTCTGATTTATTTCACTTAAGAGTATGGGCTCAATAGGAAAGAACAACTGGGATGAGGGAAAGGAGAAAAGAAGGAAAAAATATATGGATATATTCATAAGATAGCTAAGATAACTGTACTACTAATTTCTATTGGTAGAAAGAAATAATTTCTTTATTCAAAGGAACAGTTAATGTTTAATTGTTTGATCAATCTTGCATACCTATATCTGGCAATCTGAGCAATTACTTTGTAGATAATAGTAAGTAATTAAACAACCATTGCTGATTTCCTATCATCTTGTTTTGAAATTGTATACCACTTTTATAGTTTTTGGATTGTTTTGTTTTTGTCCTTGTTATTTTGTTTTTGATCTTTTCTCTTTAAAATAAAAACAATGCCTGGAAATTACTGATAATAGTCCACAATGTTGTGATTATACTAAGAACTACTGAATTGGATACTTCAATTAAAATGGTGAACTCTATGAGGTATGAATTCACTTTGATACTACAAAAATTATTCTAATTATATGATTTTATTTAAAAGCCTCCCTTTCCTTTTACGTAGGAAAGAGACTAATAAGAAACATCCACAGTTAAGCCTTTTAGGGATGATCACACACAGAAAATTGACCTTCCCTAAATATTCTTACAGAATAAAGACTTCCAAGGTATAAGGAATCCCAAAGTTAAAACTAGGAAGTAAATGGCTCTAAATTCAGATTTCATAAGGCACTTTGTGTACTTAAACACACACAGAAAAGATCAGCACTTTTCCTCACAAAATCTCCTTCCCCTGCCCAGTTGGAAATCAAATCGAATCTTTATTTCTGCCATGAGATCATTTACACTTCCTAAAGTGTCAGGCTCAGTGTTTCGCCAGTCAGCGGTGGAACTGCTGTGCCAAATCAGTTTATTTATAACCACTTCAATTCAGCAGCTGTATCAGAGACAAGCCAGGGGAGAGGGGATAGGAGTGAGGGCAGGACAATGGGTAGGAAAATAAAGTAGAATGCTAAATCTTCTTAAGTCTCAATTCTCAGTATCAGAGTCTAAATCTACTACATCTCCCCTCTCTGCGACAGCAGTGAAGATGAAAAGGGCATTCGTTCTCTTCTGTCGTGAAACTCCTTACTTTTACTGTGCCTCTGCTCTTTTTTGGCATGGAAAAATTCCAATGCTTGAAAAGAATTCTAACCTATCAAACACACAGAATTACAAGACATCTACCAACGCGGACATTCATCTTGCATAGAATTACCTTGAAACCACAACCTACTCTCTCTTTTTTTTTTTCAATCATGGAAAAGAGAAACTGAGCCACCTTACTAGGCAAACTCAATTTTAGGAGCTGCTAGCTTGCCAGGATATCAAATATCAGGGCCTGTACGCTGAGTTATGTGTGGACAGGGAGAAGAACATCACATCTGAACCACGTCATTCAGCAGTCACATGTGACGAAGCCTAGGAATTCAGAAAGGGTCACTCATGTAAGTGGCAGCCACTGATTGGATGTCTGAAAATGGGTTAGAAACCACAGCCAAGTATCTTTCATAAGGGAAGAAATATTCCATTAATTTTCATTCACTAAAACAAAAATTTTAAAAGTTCCTTGTACCATAGAAGACAGCTAAAGGAGTTTAAGAGTTGGCAAGAAAATTTTTTTAAAATAAATTAATACACACATAGAACATATAATTATACACATAATTATATATATGCACAATTTCTAAATTTATCTAAAATGCTTTTAAAAGAATGGTACATAGGGATTTTTGCATAATTCTTTACTATAGTTTTTGGTATGAAATTTCAGTTGGGTTTTTTTTTCTTTTAAGAATAAACTTCAAAAAGTACAGACGTAGGAATACAATTCTCTAGTTGAGTGTCAAAAGTAGAGAAAAGAATGTAGTTAAGACAGCAAGAGAAGGAAAAAGAAAAATAAGCATAAGACCAAATTTGAAACTCAAAATTTAAAGTATGAGACCGAGGCATTAGTACTAGTGACATACACTGATAAAGTTTAAAACTCAAGAAAACATTTTATAGAGAAGAAACTAGGTAAAAACTATTTTCATAGGAAGGAGTCTCTAGTATGTACTTTATAAGCAGAGCTTCATTTAAAATACAATAAATAAAAAGGAAAGAAATGTGCTGTAGAAAGTACCAGGCCCACCATAAAAGTATCTTATGTAGAACAATATCTCCACCTTGTGACCATTTAGGATTTTATTAAGTTGTCAAAAAGGTAGCTTTAAAGTTTTGCAACTGTAGATATACTGAAATCACTTTATCACTCCCCCGTGACTTTTTCTTATTAGACTTCAAATAGGTAACTTTAAATTTCTTAGTTTACAGTAGTCATTTAAAAAAAAAAAAACTGTTTAATAATACTATTAAATAATTAAATAAATAATATATACCAGCCACATCTATTTTAAGAGCCTAAAGGTTGGCTACTTAGAGAATAAAGAATATAATTGGTATGCAAATATGTCAGTGACTGTTTCAAGCAAGGTCTTCTAAGCGAGTCAAGCACAAATCTTAAGAACCAAAGTACTACTCTGAAGTGGAGTCGAAAGCACAAGAGTAGAAAGGCAGCACAGCACTCAATTTAATGCATGTGCACCCAAGTGCACCTTGTGCACTGCACCATGAGCTGCACCCCTGGCCCCTCACTACCCTTCTCATTCTGTTTCCTGACCATCCATGAATAGAGGATGTGGACTATCAACTTCTGATAAGCTTTGGCCATAATAAAAGTGCACATATTCTTTGACAGTAAGGTTTCAGCTATCTTTCAGCTATTTCAGCTTCAGAGGAGAGAGGCAACTTTTAACAAATACCTGATGCAGGAAAAGATTATAGTATGTGTTTACATTACATTTAGCTCATACTGGACAAAAAAACTTTACTTGTAGGGGAAGGTGGCAACTTACTTTCCAGATGTAGGCAGCTTCATCACTTGAACCACTGAGCAAAAACTGGTCATCTGGACTAAGACTTGACTTTACATAAAAGGTAGAATTCTGGTGTCCATTGAAGACAGCCACTGCCAGAAGACAAAAATAACATTACTTAGTTATTGTTATTTCCAGTGTTCAAATGTTCAAATAAATATAGACAGTGTGTACGTATGTGTGTATTCCAACAACTTTTACCACCGTACTGACTGCTGAAGTAGACGGTCAAGCTAGCTTTATTCACCATGTAACAGGGAACTGGACATTGGTCAAAAAAGGAAAACCCTAAAAAAGGCTTTATTTTAGACCTACCATCATGAAGTTGGCCTAAACATACTGTCTGGCAATACCACATGAGAGAAATGTGATGGAGAACATTCTTAAGAGAAAAGAATGCAGGGAAGGTCAATCCAGGAGTAAAATGAAGATTCACCCCCCTTTCTATCTCAGAGTGGGGCTTTTCCCATTGCATTATAGTTTGGTCTTATTTCTCAGAGACCGCGAGCCTCTGTGGGATACACTTCAAATCTTGTTCTCCCCTCTCTAGGTTTTACAAGGTTTCGACAGAGTAAATCCTCAAGTATTTGTTCCAAGAATAGGTAAGGAGCAGTGAAGACGACCTTGCAAATTCTGGCTAAAACTTACTGATAGCTTATCTGAGAGACGAACCTTACCCGCCAACAGGCTGAAGTAAAGTAGCGGGGAAACTATGCTCACACAGGAGACGTGAGGTTAGGGTTAGCCTTCTCACTGTACACAGCAAAAGAGCAAGTTACCGTATCTAGCCCAACATGCTTTTGTCAAGTGTTTTTATTCTAAGGAAGACAAAACCTAAGGCCCTTGGCACCAGAACACTTCTAAGAAATTCAAGAGAAAATCTCATTTATTGAAGAATTTAAGGATAAATTTAGGCAGGGGAAAAACTTATAACTCCTTTTAACAGAGAAAAAGAAGTATTAGTAAGGGACTTAGTTTTCCATCTGTGCTCACAGAAATTCTTTCCTTTTTCTACACTAAGTGGAAGAGAACTTTGTATTTATAGCTTTTAAAGGAAAAGTCTACAAATCAAATATTCCCCACATCAAGACATTTTTACTGTGAAAGTTAAACAGGATATTAATCAACTCAAGACACATTTATTATAAACTTGCTGTAACAGACAAATCCCTGCAAAGTAAGGAGGCTCCTTTATGGTGAACACTGCTCCAAAAGTATAATTGTTCACCCACAACTATACAACCAGACATGGAAAACTAACGACTGCATTTGCCACAAAACCTGTCCGTATTTGTTGCCCTCTGCTGGCCTAAGAAAGGCTGGTATGATGTTTTATTGCCTATTAGTCTGGCTGTTAATCTGTGTTCATGATAACTTGATAAAGACATAAAAATAAATAACATTCATTGAAAGGAAAGTTTTGTATTATTATGCATTTCTTTTTTTAAGAAGAGTCATCCTTATGAATATCACTTAGCATAAAACTATAAATAAAAAATGGTAACTGAGTCCAGGACTTTTCTAAAGTCTTGAAAAAAAACAAATAATCACCACACATCACATATCACACACACCCACACCCCTTGCAACACACAGCCAACGTTCAAATTCTGAGGAACAAATTAAACAATCTATCCAACTATCTTTGAGAACAAAATTATTTTAGGAGAAAAAAGTTACGAAATTACTAACGAAGTGTTTGATGGCTAAGGGACAAACTCAAGGTCCGTTTAGTGCCACACTATAGGAAAATAAAAAGAACTCTTGTACATCTGACAAGAGTCAGGGATTAGGCTTTATGTTTTTTGGTGGGGGTGGCTCTGGCGATATAGCTCAGACTGGCCTCAAATTCATGGTAATCCTCTTGTATTAGTCTTCTGAGTTCTGGGATTACAGGTGAGTCCCACCACACCCAGCTAGGCTTTATCTTTTAAGGAACAACTTTGAAAAGTCTATTTTGTATGATTAACTAAACCAGCAGCTAGCCAAGTTCCGATTTAAGGAAAACAACAAAAAAAGTTACAAAACCTACTCCCTTTTCCACATACTCTTGCTCTTGTTTCGAAAACATCAGGTCTGATCCCAGGCACTGGAAGTGCCAGCTATGGCACATATCGAAGTCCTAATGAGACTGCAAGGGGAAATCTTTGGAAGCTTCTCCAAGATCACAACTAACATGAAAAAAGCTCTGTACTACTTTGAGACATCTTGTTTATTAGCACATTCTACTTTACTGGGAACTAAGTAGCTCTGGGCATAGGTCATGGAATTCAAAGTGTTCCTGACAGCAAGGCCTGAGGAAGAACCAGGACACTAATATGTAGCTTGCTTAAGTCATTACTAGTAATTTGTAACACAACCTTCTTAAAGCATGCTTGAGAAACCTTAGTTTCTCTTTTAAAATATTTATTTATTAGCATCAGATTCTATTTTTATATTCTTTAGGATACAAAGAAAGGCAGGGTTGAGGAAAAAAAACTACAAAAAGAAAATGGCCCCTGTCCAATATTAAAAAGAAGGTGGAAAGAATGTGGAACTATTCGGGGAGGAGGTCTGAAAAAATCAGGCCCTTTAATGTGTGTGTAGGTTGGTGCTGTGCTGGGGATAGAACTGAGGGCCTCATGCACACTAGGAAAGTGCCCTACCACTGAACTATAGCCCTACTGCCTAATCTTAACTAAGAGCCCCCAAAGAGGACAAAAGTTAAGCAGAACAATTTTCTTTATCCTGAAAGCTTGCAGAATAACATACTGTTAATTTTAAATATAGTCCAAAGGGCATGATTTCAGGAGACTCACGATTAAAATGAAATCAAGTCACCATATAGAGAAGGACTGGTTATTTGTGAAATGGTCACAAGGGAAGAACCCCAATAAAAACATCATTAGAACCAATTAAAGACAATGAAGTCCTCATACAACTCAGTAAGTTTTGTTTAAAAAAAGATGAAAGTATCATTAACAAAAAAGCCCTACTAATTTCCTGGTAAGAGAATATGAATCACTAATATCTTACCTGGAGAGGTCTTTAGTCCAGTCATATTGAACATGTAGATGTTGTCATCTGTGCAATTAGCAAATAAAGTAGAGCCAGTAGAATCCAAAATCAGACTGGAGTATCCTGGGGAAAGGAAATTTAAGTTATCATGTCCTAATGATGATGAATAGACCAGGGGCTAAAACACAAAGGCAGAAATAGATCATTGCACAAGACACTATCAGATCGAGACATCAGAATTTTTGGTTCTCAAAATGTATACAAATCAAAAATATTCTTAAGTTTGAAGATAACACATTTCCTCCAGTCTATGTTCTCAAACTAGCCCATTAAAAACTTTTTTAAAAAAATTTTAAACAGAAACAGCTCTTCCAAAAAGTGCCACAGTCTGTATAAAGGCTTACCTAGTTTTCGAGTGCTGCTACCTGGGTACAAGAAAGACTTGGATGCTATGGGTTCTTGTCGATAAGCAGTGTAATTCTTGCGTAAATCCCATATTTTGATTATCCTAAAACCCAAGACAAAGTTACTTGGTAGACTTTCCCTCACCCCAAACAACTTTACTCACAGCAAATGTGAAATGACTTCAACTTCTCTGGCACTTTTACCAGGTACAGTGAGGACAGCTCATTGGGAAACAAACTGAACTACTTTATACCATTGTTTCCAGTGTCAGGCTTATAATTCTGACAAAACGGAAACAGATGTGATTTGACCCAGTGATGGGCTACTGGAGTTTACTTCCAGACAGGGGAAAAGGAAGATGCAGTTGTATGCTGATAGTCACTGTTCCATTGTTTTAGAAAAGTATTTCCTAAATCTTTAATATCCTGCATATATCCTTTGACATCATAAGCAGCAAGCTCTATTTCTATGGTTATATCTCTATACATAACTCCCTTAGTAAAACAGCTTAAACAAATTTTCCTATGCAACAGGAAAATATTTTCTCAATCTACTGGGGTAAATGTCTTAATGCCCTACTTCTACTGTGTATTTTGTCTAAAAACACAAACTTGGTATAAAATGGCAGTGTCTCTGGAGTCAAATGGAGTGAGTTTTCACCGGCATAACTAACACCTTTCAGATGATCCTTTATTGTTGATAAAAATTTAGTTCAGAGGGTAAAAGTGTCCAGAAAAAAACAATGAAAATCCTACATTAATCAGCCATCATCTTTATAAATAAAAATTTTGAAGGCAGTGATGCATTTGGAAATAAGCAAAGAAGTATGTTCACGATAGGGACATAATTCATGTGGCTTGCTGCATGGGAGAAAGCCACTGGGTGTACGAGCTGCCCTGTGGGGGTCATGCATGTACCACTAGTGGTTTAAACCTGCAGAAATGTGTTAAAGAAAGAGTCCTTAAACAAGAGATAAAAAGAGTCTCTACACACGAAGAAAGTATGTTTTATAAAGTAACCAATGAGCAAGGACTTATTTAGAAGCCAAACATTCAGACCAATCATGATGGCAAGTATGTGAAAATATGTAAACCTTTTGATAAATCTAGATTACTCTCAGAAATGCCAGGTACATGACCAAAATCAGTCATCTTCTTTTAAAGATATTGCTAAACATGAAAAGATATAATCCAAAATAACAGAAATTTTACTCCTCCAAATAAGAATCAGTGAGTAAGCAGTACTGCCATAAGGCAAGCAAGCTGTCATGTCGCTTCTCTGACCAGCAGCAGTTAACACTGTTCCCTATGATAGACAATGCACCAGGTGACATATGTGCTATATCATTTAATTATTTGAGCAAGGGTTCCAACTCGGGGCCAGGGATACACCTCAGCGACACAGTGCCTGCCTGGCAAACACAAGGTCCTGAGTTTGATTCCAGGTACCAAAAAAAAAAAGGGTTCCAACTAGCTATTTTCCAGTATGGTCTGTATTTTTCAATTGGAGTACTCACTAAGCCAGAAGTTAAAAGCATACATGTTCAATTATAAAGGGAGTAGGTAACTTTTCTCAGCATTTCATCAAAAAGAACCAAGAAATAAAGTCTCTTACCCATCCACAGCTCCAGCTGAAACTAATATATTCTCATCTTGAAAAAGGACCACAGTAACACTCTGCTGGAAATCCTAATAGCACAAGAAAGAATAAGAAAAGAAGGAAATTCTGTCTAGGGCACGATCTTCACCATCAAGAGACCAAAGTACTAAGAAAATGGCTCCCTCACCCACACTCTGAATTAAGACTGAATCGTCTCCTTCCAACAACCTGGGATATTTGTGTTAGCAAGGAAACTACCTAAGCATTACTAAGTTATGGCATGTAGTGTTAACACTTTACTTGTACTCAAAAAACAAATCAGACACTAAACAATTTTACTTTCTTGAGCTCACAGATTTTACTCAGACTCAGCCCTACTAGTAAACTGTGTATCTGCAGGAAAGTCACTGAACTCTCCTGTGCCCATTTCAACTAGAAAATATTGCTGCCTACCAAGATTGTCATACTGGAGCGCCTAGAGAACTGTGGATGAAAGACCACATGCTCTGAGAAAGTGACAGGGGCTTAAGGGAGTTTCATCTCTTAACTGCTACTACCTAATCAGTTCTCTACGCCCAGAACCTAAATGTGTGAAAGGTCACAAGGAACTTTACCTGGCCTGCACAGACCACTGTCTGTTTCTAGTCATGCCTCAGACCTGGGTATAGTATGTAGTTTTAAGGCCTAGTGTTTTAGTAATCACACTTTCCCCAGGATATTTACTTGGACGCTACAAACCAAGAATACAACAAAAACACAAAAAAGAGAGATCAATGGCAATACTTTTTTTTTCTGAAGAGATGTATTATGAGCATAGCTTTTGACTAGAGTAGCTCTAGTTCTATGTTCTACCCAAGTATTTCTCAAAATATTTAAGAATATTTTGCTACATGTTTAAAAATATTTAAAAAAACCTCAGGTTTACTATAGTTTACATCATGAAAGCAATAGGAAGGCAGGGGCTATAGCTCAGTGGCACAGTGCCTGCCTGGCAAGTGCAAGGTCCTGAGTTCGATTCCTAGTACCAAAAAAAAGAAAAGCAAGCAAGCAATAGGGATTTTTTTTCTGATTGAAAAATTATCATTCTACTTAATATGGTTCTTTAAACTACCTTCCCACTTTTCCTACTGAAGCACACTGCATTGCAGGTATGTATATGTTTAGAGATCTCCAGGAACGATGCTCTGAAAGCTGAATTTTTAACATGTCCACTAGATAACACTAATGCCCACTGCAGTTTCAGGACCATTACTGTAGGTACTGAATAATAAACTGATAAAAGGAAATGAAGATTTTCATTCATCTAATCCACAGTGCCCATCTTTATGCCAACAAATTCCCTAAAATGAATTCTATCCTACTGTTAAGGTCTATATATATGCATACATTTTTAATCTCTTACCACAGAAGGAGCAAGTCCTTTGGAATTCTGTTTCTTCTTGGGCTTTGAAGGTGTTTGCTTGTCTGAAGTATTATGAGCTCCACTGATTTGGTTCACTTGCCTATAAAATCCATCTGAAAGATATTCCCAGGAAACTGATTTAGCTTTTTCTTTTGTATCACACTGAGTGTAACACTTATACATATAACCTCAAAATGAAGTAACTTTCACTAGATTAGTGAAATTAGAAACAGGCACAGCCAGTCCATATCTCCCATGGTGATATTATGTTGTATAAAGGAAGATTATAATAAAGGGTATAATGTATAAAAAGGAAGAACACACACATTTATAACTAGCTTTATTTATGATGGCAAAAACTTGGAGGCAATCCAGATCTCCTTCAGCAGGTGAATGGATAAATCTACAGTGGTACATCCAAACAGAAACGTATTCAGCCCTAAAAAGAAATGAGCCTTGATAAAGCCATAAAGACTCAAAGGAAACTTAAATGCGTATATTACTAAGTGAAAGAAGGCAATCTGAAAACATGATGTACTCTGACTCCAACTATAAGATATTCTGAAAAAGGCAAAACTACAGAGATGAAGAAAGATCAGTGGTTGTCAGCGCTTAGAGGGGAGACAGAAATGAACAGCATAGTGCAGGAGAGTTATAGAGCAGTGAGACTATTCTTTTTATTATAACAGCATATATTATAACATCATACATTTGTTAATGTCCACTGAATATATAACAGCAAGAGTTAGTGAACCCTAGTGTAAACCATGGGTTTCAAGTGATGATGATGTGTCGATGTAGGTTCATCATCAGTTGCAATAAATGTACCACTCAGGTGGAGGATGTTGACAATGGGGGAGACCGGGTGTGTTTAGGAGCTGGGGATGTGTGGGAATTGTACTTTCTGCTCAATTTTGCTATAAACCTAAAACTGCTCTATAAAATAAAGCTCATTAACATTTCAAAAAACCCTCCATCAATAATTTAAAATAAACAGGCCAGTGATCATCTGCTCAATAGCAGACAAGTTTATATTTAATTCAATCTCATTCTTTAAGGCTAACGACAATTTAAATTAAAAGACATTTATGCAGTGAACCTATGCATTAATAATTAAAATTCTACCAATAATTTAGGCAAATAGCATTATAATTCAGAAGACATTACGAAGTAAATACATGAATGTAATAGTACTTGCAATAATCAAGGGAACCCTGAGAATTGAACAGTGAGCAGCAATAGGGGTTTATGAGTACACGCGCCCCCTTGTGGTAATCAGACAAAACCACTAACACTGTTGTTCAAAATTACATATGGGATCCCACATCTGTCAAAATTAAAACAACTGAGTTACCTTTTTTATTGCATCTGGTATCCCAGACCATAATGTTGCCATCTCTTCCACCTGTACAGAACACAGCTGTGGAGAAATGAATAGTTGAACAATTTAGGAAGAGGTTAACAAGACCAGTCAAATGACCTACATTTCAATTTAATTTCTAGAGTATCTAGTCTGTGCCAGGTACTGAATTTGGCACTGGTGATTAAAGCTTTTAAAATATATGGCTCAACAACAAATACAAGGAGTATGTCACAGTTTGGATTTTTTTTGTCTCACAGAGCTCTCGGGTAGTTTGTTTTTGGTATTTTGACCAATTTATAGCTAATACAGGTAGTTTGTTAAGTGGTCACTCTTTTGTACAGGAAGCAGAGTTTCGTTTTATTTAATTTGAAACAGTAAAGCATCATAGACAAACTGATGTCTTCCTATGTTCCATTCTTCAATCCTTTGCTCTCCTTCCATTCCCAGAGGTAATCTTTCACCAATTTCGTACGTATTTCAGTACTTTTATACTAAGACAATATAATTTTGGAGGGAAATTCAACATGCAAAGCAAATGACCATCCTAGGATGAGTTACTGGTTTTAGGGGGTTAGTTTTCCCTTGAGAGCAGCCACAATAGCAGCACTAGGACCAGGAAGCTAAAATACCCATCGAAATACCTATCATCTCTCAAGCCAGAGGAATCAGGAAAAGGAGATAGGGACCAACAAGAGCTGCCAGAGTGAGAGAGCCCGAGAAAGAGAACACTTAATTCTGTGTTTAAACTCTGTTCAAGTTTCTGGCTGACTCCTGGAGCCATATGTGGAAGAAAAAATGGACTGAGGCTTAAACTAAAAATCTGAATTGGTATATATGATTCAATGCCCTACTGCAGGTGTTGACAGTAGAATTTGAGTCTAAATGAGTTCACTGGTAATACAGAAACAAGAACTCTTTTCTAAGCAATATAACAGAATCCAGAATCTAACATCCAACAAACCATTCACAATGTCCATTACCTTAACACACAAAAAAGCCAGGAAAACAAGTTGTTCTTAAGGGAAAAGAAACCAATGGAACCCAATTCTAAGACAATTCACATGTTGATTTATTAGATAGGAATGTAAAGCAGATACAACATGTCAAGTGAGGTAAACTAATACACACTTGTAATTAAGGAAAAGACATTATATCTCAGCAGAAACAGAATTTATAAAAACAGAAACCTTAGAACTGAATAACAAGCCAGGCATGGTGGCCCACACCTATAATCCCAGCACCTGGGAGGCTGAAGCAGAAGAATCAGTGCGAACTTGAGACTGGGCTACACTACAAAGTGAGCTCAAGGCCAGCTGACCTGCATAGTGAAACCCTGTCTCAAAAAAAAGACCAAAAAGATGACAACAAAAAAAAAACTGAGTAACAATAACCAAAACAATAAAAATGCACTAGATAGACTTAAGAACAGAGTGGAGAGATCACAGAAAGTCACTAAACTTAAAGATAAATCCACTGAAATAACTTAATTTGAAATAAAGAGCTTGAACATTATGCTAAGTAAAAACAGCTAATAACGGAAGACTAAATATTGTATCTTTCCATTTATATATTAAGGTGAAGAATAGGCAGATCTGTAAAGACAAAACAGGAGTGGTCAAATACGACTAAGGGAATTGTAGATGGAAAGAATGGCTAATAGGTTAGTTTTCTTTCTGGCTCATGAAAATGTTCTTAAAGTAGATAGTAGTGGATTGTGGTACAACTCTGAATAAACTAAATAGCACTGAAAATGGGGATAATTTAACGGTACATACAGTGGTTTAAGTATGGCTTGTCCCCTCCAAAACTCATGTTGGAATTTAATAACCACTTTGCTAGTGTTGGGAGGCAGTGCCTTTAAGAGAGGACTGGGTCATGAGTGGATTAATGGGTCACTTTGGAGGTGGTTTTGTCATGAAAGTGAGCTCTCTGGCCAGCTGCTTCTGGCTTGCTGTGTAATCCCCTTTGTCACGTTATAATGCAGCAAGAAGACCCTCACCAGACCCCAGAGTTGGGCCCTTGGGTTACCTAGCCTCCAGGACAGTGAGCTAAATAAATCCCTAATCTTTAAATTATCCTGTCTCGTGTATTTTGTTACAGCAACAGAAAGTAGATGAAGCATACGTTAATTATATTTCAAATTTAAGAAAATTAAATAAAATGAGTAGAATCTCAAAGATTTGTGGGAAGAATTCAAAAGAACACGTACATGAGAAATTGGAGTCCCAGAAGGGGAGGAGAGGAAGGAAAGGTGAGAGGAAGCAAGAAGAGAGCAGAGAACAAGAGAGAACATGAATGAATTTAGCCAGAATAGTAGAAACTTCCCAATTCAGTGAAAAATGAACTTACAAATCCAAAATGATAAACAAGCCCCAAACATGGGTTTTGGAGGAACCATGACTGGACACATCATAGTCAAACTACTGAAAGCCAAAGATCCTGAATATAGCCAGGGAAAAGAACACATTATATACAGAAAAAGTTTCAGATGAAACCACAGAAGACAATGGAATATCTTCAAGTTATGAAAAGTCAAAAGTTGTGAAGTCAGATTTTTTCTTTTTGGCAGTATCAGAGATTGAACGCGGGGCCTCTTGCATGCTAGGCAAGCACCTTACCACTGAGACACACCTCTAACTCTTTTTTATTTTTTTGAAACAGGTCTTACCAAGTTGCTCAGCCTGACCTCAAACTTGTGACCTTGTTTTAGCCTTCTGAGGAGCTGGGATTACAGTCATGTACCACCACACTCAAAGAATTTTACATCCAACAAAAACACCCTTCAAGAATAAAGATACAAGGACATTTTCAAATATAGGAAAACAAAGACAATTTATTGTCACCAGATTTCCACTAAAAGAAATGTTAAGGAAAGTTCTTCATGCCAAAGGAAATGACACCAGATGGAAGGATAGCGAATGCCTTGCTAGAGCAAATGCATGAGTTCAAGGGTAAACCATGAGTGGATCTGGAATATGTTGAATCTGAAGTGCTTGCAGACAGCCTAAGTACAGAAACATAGATCTGTGCCAATAGAACTAGCATTGCAAACAAACAAAAAATTGGAATAGATAAAACCATCCAGGGAGAAGGTATAGGCTGAGCGGAAAAGAAGGCCAAACGCTTAGCCTGGGCTATGCTAATGCTTTAAGCTAAAGAATAGCATACAAAAGCAACCAAAAAGGAATAAACAAAAGATATAAGGGGAATGAGAAGGAAATGGTACACAGGTTCCAATAAAGGAAAGAATTTTAATGAAATTTTATAAATGGCCAAGTAAAAGAAAAGTCTCATGGCTTCTCACTTTTAGGTAACAATTAGAGATTAATGTTACTAAGGGCCCAGGGAGATGAAAATGATTTTGCTCAAGAGCTTAGAGGCAGACTTTAGGACAAAACGTAAGGCTTCTATATATGGTTACAAAAGTGTGCCCTGCCAAGGGCATATGACTAGGGAATTAAGTGAGGCTAAAATTTAGTCTCTTGCCAACCAAACCATAGAGTGTTGAGGGTGGTTTCCAACCAGACTCACACTGGGGCACCTATGGACTACTGGGAACCATGGTAAAAGCTACTTGCCCCAATGTCTAACTCAATACTTTCTCTATCAGAACATAGTAGCACAGATATACTCACATGCAGAGTTTTTAAAAGTTAAGCAAAAGGATCAAAAGATTGGTGTTTTCCTTTTCCATTACCCTTCATTAAGACAAATTTTCATAATCTTAAATTACTTTTATAGACTCAAAGTGAATTCTGACACAGGCATGCAGTGATTTAACTTTATGCAATAGATGTATTAACAAAAACTTAGGCAGAGAGATCAAAACTCATGGCACCATGTATCCTCTTCAAGGTTCCATCTCAACAGCAGATCTAGTAATTTTAAAACAAAGACTTTTTAAAAAGTCCCAACCAGCTAAACAACTCAGTTTAATATTTCTGAGTGCTTAGGTAAATAAGTAAAAACACTCCTTTTTAAAAGAGTACTTTTTAATGTTAAAGAAGATGGTAATGTTTGTCTCTATAATTCTAAAAGTCAGATTAATTCAGGTAATTCTTTGAGATAAATTTTTATTGATCTATCTGTAAATAAAAAATTTGTGAGAAACAAACAGAAAGAGAAAACAAAAAATATAAGTGGAAAGCTCATTTGGATGTTCCCGCTAAGTATTTGCTTAGCTGATAAGGTACTATTATATCATTCTCTAATTCTTTTTTCTCCACTAGAACAGTATGCTATGGTTGATATATTGTGTTAGCTTGGGGAGTCTAGAGGTTTGGCTAAGTGACTTAACAGTTTTGCATCCTGGGGTAAAAAGAACATGTCTTTATCCTTTTGGGATGTTGTTTATTGCATTAATTTAAAAAGTTTAAAATATTGTGAGTTTGGCCAAAAAAAAAAAACTTCAATAAAGCTAAAGACTATAAAGATAAAACTAAAGAGATCTCCATTGCTGAAAAATCAAAAAGATGGCCTAAAAACATCACAAAACCCAGCAAATCTCCACCCTTTGCAGCCTCAAAACTGCAAAGGTAAAAGACTTTGCTTTAAGAAAAAAAAAAAAAAAAAAAGCCACAGAGCACCATGTTCCAAAATGGTGGCAGCCACAACATGTGCCAAAATAGAGGCAACATAAAAAATTTGTTCCTCAAAATTAGGTTCAAAAAGCCCAGCGATCCAGACACTCAAGCCTTATAGCCAAAAGAGAAAAAAGCTTGGCTACTGCTCCAGGTGGCAACAAACCTTGACATCATCCACGTGTCACTGGTTTTAGATGCATACAAAATACAAGAGTTCTAAGGTTAAAAGGCTTCTACCTCAATTTCAAAAGGTCTAAGAGGCCAGGCAGTGTGCCCCTGAAAAGGCAATGTATAAAGATATAAATATAATACAAAAGGTGCAATAGAGACCTCAAAAGTTTAAACTTTTGAGTTTAAAAGCCAAAAAAGTTTAAAAGCCAAAAACATAAACGGTCTAAAAAAAAGCTAAAAAAAACCTCCAGGCCCCCTTCCGCCCCAAAAGCCATGAGAACTATAACCACTAAAAGGGCCATAAAAATGAAATCATACAAGCCTTTAGAGCTCACAATGTGCCACAAGTTGCTTCAAATGCTAGATTTAAAACTACAAGACATAATGTTAGCCCTACTAAATTTTAACTTAAATGGTTGCTTTGGTCCCATTCCTTTATATTACCCTGTTTATAATTTTTAAAATAAAAATGCTTATTTTGTGTCATTAAATGTTAAAAATTTTAACTTTTCATTTATATAGGGGCTTGCAACTAAGTCTGTCTTATATCTAGGAGGTAACGGGACACTTCAACTTTTCAGTAATGCTAAAACTGTTACTACTTTGGCAACTCTTACAAGTAAACTAAATGCTTTTTACATAAAAAAACCATGAATCTTTGGGGGGCAAAATGTTATGGTTCTAATATAATATAATGTCTTTATATATAAAAACTGGTTTAAGAAAATGTCTCTGGTTGCCAAGTTGACAAGGGGTAGACTATTATGGTTGATACACTGTGTCAGCTTGGAGAATTTAGAGGTTTGGCTAAGTGACTCAACAGTTCTGCATCTTGGGGTAAAAAGGACATGCCCTTACCCTTCTGGGATGTTGTTCATTGTGTCAATTTAAAAAGTTTAAAAGGTTAACTTTGTGATTCAGCAGGGAGCCAGGGTGCTTACTTTGTATTCATCCTGAGCCTGTGCAAGAGGAGGGCATAGAGATTATGTGAGTGCTACATGCCCCCTGGGTGGGGTAGCCTGTTTACAACATAAGGGAGGGAAAGAGGCTTGTTGCTCTTCTCTGCCAGTCCTCCCTTTTGCTCCTGTTGCTTTGCTCTTCCACCACCATAAACTGCTGCCCTCTGCCATGTGCCACTCTGCTTAGAACCAACTAAATATAGACTGAAACCTCTACAAACTATAAGCTAAGTAAACCTTTCCTTCCTTCACTTTGGGTGTCAGATATTTTGTGTCAACAACAAAAAAATAACCAAGACACAGTAAAAGAGGAAAATCGATTTTGAGTAACAGTTGGAACTATACTAGAAAACCAGGCCCTTTAAACTAATTAATTACCTGGTAAATTTTTAGGTAGAAAATCATGTCCAGTTTATGAAGAGTTTCTCCCTGGCCCTATACTCCATTTAAATTTTCTAAGCTGAGTTAATGAGTACCCTGTATAAGGTTTTGACTTGAATGGACAATCAAAGTTAAACAGAGGTATTGTGGTTATTCATAGCCATTTTACTTTTATCTGCGTAAGACTTTTGACTTTTGAGGACAAACTGGAGATAGCAACCATAAATTAAAACAACTTACTTCGTTATTGTTTTGAGTCATATCAGGATTTCAATCATCTATATAGGTAAAGCAGCAACTCTGACCAAGAAAGGATAGACACAGTTTCTTCTTTTCTCACCATAAACGAGGTTAGGGAGATAAAAGCATAAGCACAAACCTACCTTTCTGAAACTTAGAGAACGCAACTGACTTGAGACTGCATTGATGACCTTTGCATGTTCCAATTAGCTCACCAGCTTTTACATCCCAAAATTTGGCTGTTTGATCACCTGCGGCTGTAACCTTTCAAAAGTAAAGTGGCACAATTTAACAAAGCAGTCCTTTACCAGTATTTACTCAGAGCCCAATGAAATGAAAGTCACTTACAAGTTTAAGTTCACCAGGGACCCAGGCTAGGTCAAAGACAGCATTCCAGTGAGCCATCCATTCTAAATAAAGAAGAAGGTAAGTGTGAACTGCCTAGAATGTGTTCTATGGTAGCCTTACCAATAACAATTTAAATGCCCAGAAAGCTGGAGTGAAAAGATCAGTGATCAGCACCCACTTGAGGATGCAGACATGTCTCTGTCATGGGAGGTCATCTCTCTGACTGCTCTCCACAGACCTTATTCCAACCATGCTGGGCCAACCGCCAGTTCCTTCTTACAGCCTACGCTTTTCCATTTCTAGGAAAGCTAATGTTTTTCCGTATACTTGGAGTACCCTCTGCAAATGCCATTGGTCTAAATACTATAGTTTAACTCTAATGTTCCATTTCCATGAAAAATTTTCCTAGCTTACTTTCCTGGCCTGCTTTTGTACTCTTATATCATTTATAGTCTTTGTTTTATTTTAGTTGTTTCAACACTAGACTTACTGGTTCCCAACTATCAGTTTGTTATGGTCAGCAGAAGTTACTTTATCAACATTTAAAGCATTATTTCCCCAAGCACTTTAAAAGATTTAACTTTTTGAAAAAAATTTAAAAAAAAAAGAACTGTTTTTAATTCTAAAATGTGCTTTTCTCAAAAGGTCTAGAAAAGGTTCTATCATAGTTAACAGTTATTGTCAGGAAGGCAGTTCATCATTTACTTTGAACATAGTCCCTTATTACTAAATATACTCAAATAGTAATTTTTACGTGTAGCTTTATGAATTAAAAATAATGTTAAAGCAAATATTGTAGATCTAAATTTACCTTTGAAGCACTTCTTTCTGCTAGTTTGTGATTCCGTATTATATAATCTTACAAAGCCTTCTTCATTGGCAACTGCTAATATATGCTCCATACTGGGAGCTATAAAGAAAGAAAGAATACAAAAAAAGTAACACAAAAATTTTCAAACCCGTATAAAGGTATTAAATGTCTCAAAACCTTTAACAAAATTACTTTCAGACAGTCTCCTATTTAGAAGGACTAAATCAAGAATGGTACTTAAAAACGAACCAGCCAGTGGCACTAAATAAAAGTATACAATGATACAGGCAGCCAGCAGGCTATTAAATTTTCTTTTTACAACCTTTCACTTTTCTACTCTTAAAACCATTTAGAGTAAGAATAATTACTTCTATTTCTGTCCACATATTCCCAATGAACAAAAGAAAAAGATATATATTCAGCCAGACCAAAAGCAGTGTCTACTAGGCAAAATTGTTTTCGTGGTAGTTGAATCCATGTGATCCTTTCCATATATTGGTTCAAAAAAAGTTAGCTGGGCATGGTGGTACATGCCTGTAATCCCCACACTTGAGAGGCTGAGGAAGGAGAATCACTGCAAGTTTGAGACCAGCCTGGGATACAAAGTAAGCTCAAGACCAGCCTGATCTGCATAGTAAGACCCTGTGTCCAAAAAGGAAGACAAAATAGTGTTATAATAGTTCTATGCTAGAGGAAATACATAATTATGCTAATTATGCATAGAAATTTTAAAAGCCTATTTGGTAATCAGGAGAGAACTGTTATTGGAGAAATCCTAACATTAACTTGTTTTTGTTTCAAAGGAAGATACCCCAAGTATATTTTCTTTCTAAGCAGGAAATACATTATTTCTGCACAGGCTTAGCCTGGATAGTACTAATTCTCTTACCAGAAGAGAAGGTGCATCCAAAAGGAGGAACCGGGACTCCTGTTTCTCCATAAGAAGTGTGCTCATCGTGACAGCTGCACTGATAACCAGTGAGAAGGGACTGTAGAGGGTAATGTGAAGACCACCCTAAATAAAACAAAATGATTCCTTATAGAATTTCAATGTAGCATCTCATTTCAAGACTTCTAACAAATGCAGAGATAAATATTTGTTCTCAAAGAGCTTTATATTAACATAGGTCCATTCACTATAGCAACACTGTCTTCTAGAATACTCATTTTCTGGTATTTTCTTAAGAGGTCCCAGGGAAGAAATGAAAACACAAGCCTAACTTTGGGTAAGGTACAGCATTGGGCTCACCATCTTAAATGGAGACCCTCATTAAAACATTAAGACTAGAATAAACAAGGGGCCCTTGTACATTACAAAAGATCTTGCCTCTCTTTCAGCAGTGACACAACTACAAAGCATTACTTTTAAAAGTGCCATCCCCTTCAATCCAAGTTTCATTAATGTTTTGGAGTCTCTAAATCAACGTTATTACAAATGCTTCAGTTACTAGTAATCATTATATATAATCCAGTACTCAAAGTCTTAAATGAAATAACATGTTAACATGCTTATTATAGCCAGTAAGACATTTGCTAAATAAATGACATTTCTTTATGGTGCTGAAATTCGAAGATTCTAAAATGCTAACAGTAACAAGTCATAGTATTTTAAGGTATATTAGAGCAATTTTAAATTAAAGTATTATGTGTCTACTCCTAGAAAATATTCAGTCAGGAAAGCCTTTAAAGATTTGGTAAGTAAATTTTCATCGTATTTTTTTATTAGTACATGTTTGCAGTACATAATGGTTGCATCTATTGTATATTGGTCCATGTATATAACACACCTTATTTCTTTTTTGTTCCCCATCCCATCTCCTTCCAACTCTTGGTCCTCTTTCCATTTGCAAAAGCTCTATTTTTTCTTTTTTTCACTCATTGTTTTTCTATATCCCTTTCCTCCCTTCCTTCCATCTTATTCCCCTTTCCATTTGAAAAAGATCTCCCTTCTTCCTATTATCTTTTATTTTGCTCTTTATTTTTATTTTGGTTTTCCCATATAAGAGAAACCATGCCATATTTAAGCTTGTGTGTCCAATTTATTTCACTTACTATTCTCATGGTGCATCCACTTGCCTACAAATGCCTCAAATTTACTGCTTTTTATGGCACAGTAGTATTCCAATATCTATAAGTATTTTCTTTATTCACCTGTTGATGAATAAATCTAATTTTTCTGAGTTCTGTATATATTCTAGATGCTAGCTGATGAGCAAATAGGACATTTCTAAGATTTAAATTGTGCTGCCATAGATGGGGTATGCACCCATCACTGTCATATAATGACAACCTCTTTTGGATAAATAGCTAGAAGGGAATAGTTGGGTAAAGTGGAATTTCTATTTTTAGTTTTCTGAGGAATTTCATACTGATTTAACAGTTTACAAGTTTACATTCCTACTAACATAAAAGGATCCTCCCACCCCTGCAGGTGCACCAACATTCCTTATCTGATTTCTTGGTGATAAGCCATTCTTGCTAGTAAGATGGAATCTCAGTTGTTTTCATTTGCATTTCTCTAATGGCCAGTGACCCCCAAACACCTTTTTCATGTATTTATTGGCCATTAATATTTCTTCTGAGAAGTGTCTATTTCTGTTGTCCATTTTTTGATGGGCTCTTTTATTTGCAGGGGTCTAATTTTTCTGAGCTCTGTATATATTCTAGATGTTAGTCCTCTGTTTGAGGAATAGCTGACAAAAATTTTTTCCAATTGTATTTAGAACAGAGAGCAAGAAACCCAGGGTGGAGAGAAAGTTTATTCTGCTGGATCAGAAACCTAATGGAACCATAGTCCTAAATAGTAAGCCATCTTCAGCAATTTGTTTTTATCATAGTAACATGTAGGTCAGCACATTTTAAATATACAAAAGTCAAGTAACTCTTCTCTGAAAAGCTTCAGACCAAGAAGTTTCAGGTTTTGGAATATTTGCACGGATTTTACCTCGAGTATTCCTAATCTGAAAAATCAGAAGCCCAAAACTTTTTGAGCACATATTGGCACTTTAAAATGTCCAGATTTTAGAACATTTTAAGTTTTGGGTTTTTGGATTAGGGCTGCTCAACCTATGAAGAGAAGTTTTCATTGAAGAAATAATTACCAAGAATCAATTGATAATTAAGCAACTAAGGAAGCAGTGAGTTTACAATTTATTAGGAACTGTCTAAATACGTAACACACTCACATTTTAGGGAATGTAAATTCTCACTTTTCATCCAAAGTACTGCTCTATGAAGACACTGTCGACTGACAGAACCTCAGACAAATCTACGTAGTTTTGGATATTTATAGAGATAATGAAAGAATCAGCACAAAGAAGGCAAAGAAATTATAGAGTTAGTAATTACTCTTGGAGGCATTACCTCATAGTTTCATAGGTAGGTATCAATGTAAACAAGTTGTTAAAGACCACAAAAACAGTCAAGGATATATAGCACAGCTGCACAGCGCCTGTCTGGCAGGCACAAGGTTGTGAGTTTGATTCCTGGTGGGGGGGGGGGGACCACAAAAACAAGAATGCAGAAATTGTTTATGCACAGTTCACAAATATGCATCCGCAGAATAAATTTAAAAACAAAAGCCTTGTTCTGAGGATATGCAAATGTGTGGTGTGGGAGGTTAAAAATGTATGACTTCTAGACATAAATTCAGAAGGGAATCTTAACTTGGTAGAACTGAAGATAATATACTCTAGAAAACTTCACTTTCTTACAACTCAACAGTGACTTCTCAATTTTGCCTCATTCCCTACAACTAATATCCAAACTGACAAACAGCATAAGGTGACAAATTGAGTGGTCCTTGCCCACTCCTCCATTTCTGCAAGGTTCACAACACACATTTCATTCATGAGCCATTTTATGTGACATCTCCATCTTTATTGTGTTATGAACAGGAACCTGTTTCCTGAACATGTACATGCTGTATTTTCCCCACAACACTCATTTGGAAAAGCCTATTTTTCACACATAAGATTTCTCAAAAAGTATACAAGCGCATTAAGAGTTTCCAGAGGATCAATTTTCAGATATTCATCTTCCATACAAATAGTTTTCTAAAACTGATCTGTCTGAGAGGGCTGAGGTGGCTCCCTTTCCCCTCTACCTTCATCATGCTCTTATACCTTGCACTAACTCTAGTATTCATCAAATACTCTTAATTAAACATGAGTTTTCTGGCTCTCTTCCCCCTAAGAGACAATTGATAGTTTCTTCAGTAAAGGTATCATGAACACCCAAATCCACGTCTTTAAAAGATTTATTTTCAATAAAATTTTATTTTGTCTAGTAATAATCAAAATTATATTTATAGCAATTGCATCCTGCCAATAATGATGATGATAAATCAATCCAAGAAAAACTTTTAGCCCTTTGAGTCTATAATCACAGGAAACAACAATTTAAATATAGTTTTCTAACATGGAGTAGTATGATAGGATGATCAGTAAGAGTTTTTTAAGCATACTATTAACTTACATTAGGATATATTCTGTGTGCAAAATGAAATGGAAGTAAATGCAAGAAGAAAAAAGTATGCAGAACACCAAACTTTAAATTTTGTTCACATTTTCAAAAATAGATGACATGATTATAAAATCACTATAGTATTTATAGTCTATTGGATACATTTAAAAGCTACAGCATTTTAAAGATGTTAATATTCACAGCATAGCCAGAAATTATATTCTTTGTATGTTTAAATTTATGATCAAGATTTTTAGAGCTGGGCATGGTGGCACATGCCCATAATCTCAGCACTTGCGAGGCTAAGGCAGAAGGATCCTCATGGGTTTGAGGCCAGCCTGGGCTACACAGTGCATTCAAAGCTGGCTTGAACTACAGTGAGACCTTGTCTCAAAAAAAAACAAAAAAAAATTTTTTTTTCAGATACCTACTTAAAAATACACAGCAAAGTAACTAGTCAGACATATTATAAATATCATTGGCAGCAATGAAGAATAAACTGGAGCAAAGGAAACTAAGAAGCCATTTAGGAGACTTGTTATACTTGCCAAAGCAGAATCAACAGTGGGGTAAAGGGCAGAGAAATGAAATGGTAAAGAGTGAGCAGGCCTAACATACAGCAAAAAGAGGCAGAATCTGGAGGAATGAAGAGAAGACAATGGCTTCAAGAGATTTCCTTTTGAATGTATAATTGTGTAGAAGATAGAGTTTTTGAGTGATTCTTCAAGTTCCTGGCAGGAGTACCAGTTTAAAATAATAAAGCCATTTCCTACAACAGGTAATATAGCAGCTCTGAGGAAAAAGTGAGTTCAATTTTAGGCATTTGAACTTTACACGTTTGTGAGACTGATCATTTGGGTGAAGATCAACCCACACAATTTTTATAGAAATAAATCTAAAATACAGAAAATAAAATGGAAGGCTATTAGGTAGTGGAAGAAGAATTCCTATTTATGGCTGTAATCATCCATGGGAATAGGTAAAAGGAGCGTAAGAAGGCACACCAATCCAGGTAAAGGGGGAAGACAACGACAGTGGTACAGATCTGAGTGACAGATGTTAACGAATTTCAGTGCCTGCTAAGTAACAATTAGCATTTGTGAACAGAAGAGAGGAAGGAGAAAAAGTACACAGATGGATTGGAGAATTTGAAATCTGTCACAAACTAGAAGCTGAAGAGCTTTGCCCAGGTCACACAAATGATAACTCCAAGGACAAAGTTCTCAACCATTGTGCTGTACTGCCACTCAAAACAGACAATAGAGAAGTTACTCAAGCAGGGTCCTAGCAGAGACAGGAGGCATTTTGAGTATAACAACAAAGATTTTGCAGCGGGGAGTAGGCAAGGATGGCATAAAGTTTTAGACTGGGAACAGGGAATTGAGAGACCATGCAATCCATTTCTTAAATCTATTTCTAAGTATAAAATTCTCCTATTCTTCTCTTTTGTTTTCCACGTGGTTTGGGGGTGGGGAACCTCTGGGTACCAATGACCTTTCGATGAGTGCGGTTTCATTCTCTCCAAGGTTATCCTGCACAGCAAACTCATCAGATTCCGGGTGATGACACGAAACCGAACCTCAAATCTCTTATCGCCAATGTTTTAACATAAGAAACTTAAAGAACTACAGAGACTAAGTTGTATTTCCACACACTAATATAAGAACATATCCAACTTACACCGAAAAAGCGAAAAAGTGTTTTGATTCCGCTGTGGATATTACCTGTGGCATCAGAAAGCACCTAAAATAGTAGACTTCTACCTAGTAACAGGGGTCATCTCTAGACGTTGCGGTTATGGGTATCTTTCACTTTTATAATTTAAAATTTTTAGGACCAGAGAGTAATGAGAGGAGTGAGACTTCTGGCCCTGCTAAAAACAGATAAACTGTCTTCCCTGCCTGACCGAGTTCCTTGAGCGCGGGTCACGCTCTCGGCAAACAGCGCGGGTCACTAAAGTTCCGCAACAAACGCGCGCACCCGGGCCGAGGTCCCGGATCGCCGTCGAGGCGCCCCCGCCCCCAACACAACTGTTTTCTGGCGAACGCGGGATATTGACGTCAGCGGCCAGGGGCCCGGGAGGCCAGCAACTCAACGCCCCTCCCTCCTCCGGCCTACAGTATCCTTTCAAAAGCCCGACTGCGATTTACAGTGTCGGGAGAGAATCAAAGTTTAACTTCTTTCGCTCGTTCTCGCCCACACTCATTCACGCTGGCCGTGGGAGAACTCGGAGCCGGAGAACAGAGTCGGAATCGGCCCGGATCCGAGCTGGAGCGTTTCGCGGGAGGCGAATCCCGCCAGCCACGAGCAGCAGTTAAGACCGTTACTCACCATTTCTCAGGACGCCAAGCTGGGGCTGGCGGAGCACCGAATGGAAGAGCATCTGGGCCTGGCGGAAAGGCTCAGCTGAGGAAAAAGCCGTGAAAATGCCTCCTAAATTCGGCAGAAATCGATAACTTGCGCCCCTAACACCACGACCCGTTATTGCCTCCAACTCCCGCCACTGTAAGCCCCGGCCGCCAAACTCCGCGCCAAACTGACGTCACGCTTTCTGATTGGCTTCCGCCGCGGCGTCCGGGCGACTGAGTCACTTCCCCCTTGGAATCCCCGCCTCCTTTTCTCCCAGCCGCGGGAACCTGGAGTTCAGGAGTTCCCTGAGCGCCTGCGCGGGGGGCCCACAGAGGCGCCGGCGAACCGTGGGTGACTAGGGCGCATGCGTGACACGGCTCGACGGAGAGCGGAGGAAAAATCCGCGAGAAGGCGGTGGGAGAAGATGGCGGTGCTGAGGCAGAGTTTACAATCTCTCTGACTAGGCTAGTCCAGTAACTATTCGGGTCATGGCGTCAAACTCAACTAAGTCTTTCCTGGCAGATGCTGGGTATGGCGAACAGGAACTGGATGCTAATTCTGCTCTTATGGAATTGGACAAAGGTATTCGAAAAAGCGTGCTGAGCGGGCGAAACGGGCGTGGAGGAAGTGGCGCCACCAGGTGGTGGTGGTCTCAGGAGAGGCTGGGAAAGCGCATGCGCATGGTTTTGCTGGGGGCCCGGGCTTCGGGTGTTGGGATTGCGGGAAAGTTGAAGGGTTGCCTGATTGCCCCGTTGCAGCTGAGCAAACCTGGAGGTCCAGAAAGGGGCCCGTTTTGCCCCCTTGAGGGCACAGTCCGCCAATTTTCCAACAGTGAAAGTGACTGCAAAAAACACTAACATGAAATTATTTTTCTGTACGTTCCGTTTTTAGACTAGGTCTTCATTAAGAGTGCCGAGTAATTTTGCACTGACCTCAGTGTTTACTAGCAGATTACAATGCAGGTTAAATATACCGCGGAGACTCCTAGCGGGGGCTCGGGGGTTCTAGGAGTCCCCCGTAGTGACCCACCACCTCTCTTCGGGTCCTTGTCCTCTCTCCAGCGATGAGGGAGTGGGGTGCTTAGCGGAAAGCGGGGGAGTCAAGACTGATAGTGCAAAGCAAAAGGTTATTTAGAGTGTGGCAAATACAAAGAAAGCAGAAGAGAAGCTGTCTTAGCAGCAGAATGGTGCTATAAAATCGGAGGCGTCTCGCTCGGGTATGAAGACATCTCATGCTCACCCAGGCATGTGGTAGAGGGAGCTTTGGGCTTAGACTGAGTTGAATTCCAATTCTGCAAATTTTGTGATTGTGGACAAGCCACCTAATTTCAACCAGCTTCCGTTTATTGTCTACAAACTGGTATAGTACCACAGAGCTGGGGAGAATGTTGTATACATTAACTGATTCGGTATGCAGAAGATGTATATATCAAATGCTGAAGAGATCTACCTTTTTAGAAATGGATATGAGAAGCAAGGGCGGGTATTAATCAGTAAATAACTCAGTATGAAAGCTTTGTTTCGTGTACTTGGAGGATTTTATTGTCTGGGGAAATATTTGATGAGCTCATATATACACACTTAATTCTTTTTTTTTTTTTTTTTTTTTTGAGACAGGGTCTCTCTTTGTAGCCCAGGCTGACCTTGAACCTGTTGCCTGAGCTTCCCAAGTGCTGGGATTACCGGCGTGTGCCACCATGCCCAGTTTACCACTTAATTCTTAATATGGGGGGTGGGGATTTAGCTCAGCGGCAAAGCGCCTGCCTGGCAAGCGCAAGGTCGTGAGTTCGGTTCCCGGTACCGGAGAAAAACCAAAAAAAA